GCTGCGGGGCCCTCAAACGTGGGCCCAGCAAGTGAAATTCCCCCGGGGCCGCGAATTCACAGATGTATATGTTTGTATGTGTATCCAATTGACGTGTATGTGCACGTACATTCACAGATATGTGCACACACGTGAACAGTTATTAACATAATAGAAGAAGAAGAAGTAGTAGTAGTAGCAGTAGTAGTTGTAGTAGTAGTAGTAGTAGTAGTTGTAGTAGTAGTAGTAGTAGTAGTAGTAGTACTAGTACTAGTAGTAGTAGTAGTAGTAGTAGTAGTAGTAGTAGTAGTAGTAGTAAGTAGTAGTAGTAGTAGTAGTAGTAGTAGTAGTAGTAGTAGTAGTAAGTAGTATAGTAGTAGTAGTAGTAGTAGTATAGTAGTAGTAGTAGTAGTAGTAGTAGTAGTAGTGTAGTAGTTAGTAGTCGTCGTAGTAGTAGTGGTAGTAGTAGTAGTAGTAGTAGTAGTAGTAGTAGTAGAAGTAGTAGTAGTAGTAGTAGTAGCAGTAGCAGTAGTAGTAGTCGTAGTAGTAGTAGTAGTAGTAGTAGTAGTAGTAGTAGTAGTAGTAGTAGTAGTAGTAGAGTAGTAGTAGTAGTAGTAGTAGTAGTAGTAGTAGTAGTAGTAGTAGTAGTAGTAGTAGTAGTAGTGGTGGTGGTGGTGGTGGTGGTGGTGGTGGTGGTGGTGGTGGTGGTGGTTGGTGGTGGTGGTGGTGGTGGTGGTGGTGGTAGTAGTAGTAGTAGTAGTAGTAGTGGTAGTAGTCGTAGTCGTAGTCGTAGTCGTTGTCGTAGTCGTAGTCGTAGTCGCAGTCGTAGTCGTAGTAGTCGTAGTCGTAGTCGTAGTCGTAGTCGTAGTCGTAGTCGTAGTCGTCGTAGTAGTATCAGCAGCAGCAGTAGCAGTAGTAGTAGTAGTAGTAGTAGTAGTAGTAGTCGTAGTCGTAGTCGTAGTCGTAGTCGTAGTCGTAGTCGTAGTCGTAGTCGTAGTCGTAGTCGTAGTCGTAGTCGTAGTCGTAGTAGTCGTAGTCGTAGTCGTAGTCGTAGTCGTAGTCGTAGTCGTCGTAGTAGCAGCCGCAGCAGCAGTAGCAGCAGCAGTAGTAGTAGTAGTAGTAGTAGTACGAGTACGAGTACGAATCATGATCATACGAATAAGACTACCAATGCTAACAATAGTAATAACAATGATGACAGATGCACACATATCGGCGGATGTCTTGGTCCATGCCCACGTTCCCACGGTCTGCACTCGGGGGCGCGAGCCCGTGGATGCGCGGTCGCATGGAGCCGCTCTGCGCCGGAAGCCCGCGAGAGAGCACCCCCGTTTTCTGTCCGCGGCGGCGCGGCCCGCGAGGCCAGGAGGTATGGAGGTGTGTTCCCGCCTGCCGGCCCGCGCCCCATTCCCCCATCCCCCTTCGGCCGCCCACCCTGCCTCTGTTCCTCCCTCTATGAGGCGTTCCAGGAAGGGCCTCGCCTTCGAGGATTGAGAGAGTTGGCATCTCTTCCCCGGCGGAAGGCCCGCGGAAGCGGCGGAAGCAAAACGGAGGGCGGCCCCGCTGGCGGAAGCCAGCGGAAGTACAAGTCGGCCCCCAAGAGATGGCGATGATATTCTTCGTTCAGGGCTCTGGACACCGCCAATGACAGTCGGACCGAGAGCTAAGATGGAGGTCGATTCGGGGAGGGTACCCTAGTGTTCTTCGTGTTTGTTGGACGTTCTTGTGCATCCTTGGGAGGGTGCCCGTGGGTGTTCTGTTTGTTTTGGCCGGCGGAGGGTCTCATGTTCTTGAGGGGTGCTCTTCTTGCCCAGGTCCAACTGCAGCCGAAGAAGAATACCCTGACATCCGAGGATGTCAGTCCGAGGCCCCAACGGTCCCGACCCATGCCCCTGATGTGGTGTATATCGTCCTGTGGCCTGTTCTGATGGCCCCAGGGCCCGATGACGGCCATCGAGGGCCGAAATGGAGGAAGAGGGCCCGGATTGAGACACAGGAGGTCGTCGAAAGAATGGGAGGAGGGAGAAGAAAGAGGCGACTGAAAGAACTATACGTATAAGAACCATAAGGATCAGCAGAGTCTTCCTTCGGAGGTCCAGGCTGGTCTTTGAGTGTGTCGGCGCACGGTGCGGCGGCCCTCTGCAGAGGGGGACTTTTGCCGAGGAAGAGGCGCCACCGTGGCGGCGCGCCGCGAGAGCGTGCGCGCGGCTGCGAGGGCTGATTCGGGCCGTTCCTCCTACAGGGGGACTTTGGACGAGGAATTAAGAGTAGTCAGAAAATATACCAACATGGCCAACAAATACTCCAAAAATCGTGCCCAGATTATTGTTTGACTATTGTTTACGTTTCCTCCTGTAGAGGGACAGGTCCGACTTAATGCGAGGGCGGGGTCGCCACGGGCACAGAGTGGTCACGAAGTAAACCTGGGTCAACCACACGTGAGCCCCAATTACCCCTGCAGGTCGTTGAAAGTAGGTATATGGGGAGATTCAGATCCCAATCTGCTTGGGACACCTTCCTACGTCAAGAGTTGAGCGGCTGTACCTCTTCCCTCCTCTTCAGGGGGCGGGCCGAAGCCCAATCTACTTCCAACGCCTTCCTACGTCATGTGTCTACCCACTTCTTCCGACCGGCGGGTACCCCTGCACGTCAGCGTTTTGGCACCCCAGTTGGGGCTCAGAATGCGAAGGATGTCTGCAGCCGCGCGAACCCCCCGCGGGAGTGTCGGATACCTCAGCGTCGATGGCACCCGCAGGGGCACAGGATCCGCAAGGAGGCGTCGCGGAACACAGGCCCTGAGGCGCCCCGCGATCTTGGCAGCACAATTGTTCACCCAGGGCGTTTTTGCCGGCCTTCGGGGCCCGGGGCCACGGCTCGAGACGCGACGCCGAGGTTTTTTTCGCGGTTGCCGTGCTCCCCGGGGGCCTCCCCCGGGTCGAGGGGCCGTCAACCAACGGCCAGGGGATGGAGGGCTGAATTTAGGTCGGGCGCGGCCTCCCAAATGGCAGATTTTGGATGAAAAAGTCGAAGAGTCGAAAAATCCTCCCCCGACGTTTTTTCACTATTCTTGGATATTCCTCCTGTGGAGGGGCATGCCCGCCTGAAGGCTGAACCTGGAGGAAGCACGGGGGTCCAGGACCCGGGCCCGTTGTCTGCATGGTCACCACCAGAGGCATATTGGCGTGCGCTCGCTTGACGAGCCCTCCCCGGGTCGCACGGGAAGGGGGGTGCAGGGAAAGTGGGGGCTAATGTTCAGCACCGGCGGCCCGCAGCCGTTTTTGGCGCGGAGCCGAGCAGATCTCTAAAAGCAAGCTCGTGGCCTGCAACTGCCACGGGCATGCAACGGTGAACAAAAAAGAGTCTTGCTGAACCCTTCCTGCCCACACTCCTTGAGGGAAAGGGGGGCTAGGAAAGCAGCTGCGTGCAGCTGGTTTCGGCTCCGCCGCCAGGCGCTGTCCTCGATGCAAGGTCGCCTCTGGCGCCGAGGGGCGCCATAGAAGCCCGCTGCGTGATCCGATTCATGAACCCCCTTTCCTAACCAGGCCCCAGCCCTCTTCGCCCTGCCCGACCTACGCCTCTTCCTCCACCTGTGCCTCCGCTTCCCGAGCCGTGCCCTCGAAGCTCCTCGAGCCCCAGGAGCTCTCGCAATGCACGCTCCCTTCTTGCGTCTGATGCGTCGCCGCCTGCTCATCGCTCTCCTGCTGATGCTCGTCTTGATCATACTGCCGCTCCAGCTCCGGCAACTCGTCCTGTTCATCCTGCTCTTGTCCTTGCTCGTCTGGCTTCGTAACCATGTGGCTCAGGCCTTGGCTAGCGTTCTTCACCGCAGCTTCGGCCAGTGTAAATTCACGATGAATACACTCAAACTATTACTACTTTCTCTATTCAGGCATGCCGGCGGGCTCGTCAAGTCGTCAGGTTCACATGCCGCCACGTTCTCCAACGACACGCAGGCCAATGTCACGGTACCGCCAGCGGTCGCTTGGCCGTGGACCAGCGGTGGCGCCGAGCTGTACCCGGAGTGGCTCAGCCTCTCGGGCAAACCAGACAGCGAGCGGGTCTGGGACGGCGAGCACCCCCAGGCCAAGACGGCTGGTAAGGCTTCGGGCTGCGCGCAGACAGTCCCCCCGGCAGTTCCCGCTGGCCTCAACAGGTTTCCCGAGTAGCCCGGGGCGCTCCCAACGCCCTGGCTCCGCGCCCCAGGTTTGCGGTGTTGAGACCGCCGCCCCCGGCTCCTCGGGAGACCTTTTCAGGCCAGCGTGGACCACGTGGGGGGGGGGCACTATCTTGGATCACTTCAGGCATACAATTTTTCCTTGGCTTACTGTCTCGCTGTAAAAAAATGGGGGCCAGTCTGCGTGCGGCCCGAAGCCCTGCCAAAGAAGGCCGAAGACGGCGGCCGCTCTCGCCAGAGGCGCTGGGAGCTGTGGCAGGGCGTGGTCGGCGCGGCGCTGGTGGTGCTCGCCCTCTCCCTGGCGCACGCCGTGACGTGCTGCACGCTGGGCTGGCCCCGCGAGGTGGGCCCGACGACCTCGCCTGGCGAGCATCGAGGATCAAAAGACTGCATGAACATCGACTTTCGGTCGTTGGAAGTACGTATTTTTGGATTCCCATATTCCAATATACTTTGGGCGCCTTCCTACTTCAAGGATCGAGTGGCTTCCCATCTTCCGTCCTCCCAAGGGGGCGGACGGAGCCCAATCTGCTTTCAACGCCTTCCTTCTTCATGCTTCTACCTACTTCTTCCGACCGGTGGTCAGACTTTCGGAGCTGCGCGCGGATGTCGTGGATCTGCGCCAGGCAGCACCGCGCCGGGGGAGGGCGGCGGCCCAGCGCAGGTCCGAGACCTCCGCGCGGGCCTCCGAAGAGATCGTGTCCCTGCAGCTGCTTCTGCTCCTCCGGAGCAGCCCCGGGCCAAGAAGGCCGAGGCCCCCACGCCGAGGCTCGAGCCGTACTGCTCGTGGAAGCCCCGGGGGGACCACAGGGTGGGCTCGTCCCAGAGCCTGGCGAGCAGCGGCCTCATGTCCGCGTCCTGGCTCGCCTCCGACGCGTCGATGCTGCGGGGCGCCTGCCTGGCCAGCACGCTCTGCCCGCAGCTGGTGGTCCCCGAGGACTGCACGCTCCAGTGCGCGCTTCCGAGGATCGTGTGCCACAGGAGCCGGGGAAGAGGGCACGGCACCAGCCCACACGTGCGGGGAATCCGCGCGGATGTCTTGGATCGGAGCCCGCGGGGGGCATCGCCGGAGGCGCCGCCCGGGGGCCCGGTGCCGACCCGCGAAATCCGCGCGGACCCCCACAGTTCATGTTTCCCCTGAAAAGCTGGCCTGTTAAGGGTCCCAGATAGTTCGTCTATAAGAAACCGAGTCCGGGGATTGCTGGATCTGGAATCGGCCGGGGGCCTTGGTCTCATGTGGTCTCCCGTGGCCTTCCGTTCCCGTATTGTCTCCTGTAAGGTCCCCCGTATGCTCCCCCATCTCGTCCCCCGCATGGTCTCCTGTACCTATGGTCTCCCGTTGGGTTTCCCGGTGCGCACAGTACAGTGTGGTGTTCTCTTTATTATTGTACTGTGCTGTCCAGGGTCTCCTGCCGCAGGGGTGGCGCAAGTGCTTAGCAGCTTAGCTGCCCGAATACGCCCGTTTTGAAACGCAACGCGTAGACCGTGCTCAAAACGGTTGCGCGTTTGTTTCACGTGTTGGCCCACGTTTTGGCCAGCGCCAAGCGTACGTTTTCAGTATCCGTGTCGATCTCCATGTCAACACGCTACGGGTTGCGCGTTGCGCATCGGCGCAGCTAAGCTCATGTGAGCAACGGAAGAAAACGGAGTCGGCTGCGCTGACATTCGCGCGTAAGTTGCCGGCGCAAGATCGCGCGTGGGTGCCCGCGTCTCCAATGCAGCGTGCCGTGCCGGCGACCCGCGTAAGCTGCGGCGTAAGGTCGCTGCGCCATCTCGCGCAAGACCCGTTTTTGATCGTCGCTCGTGTGTGCTCCTCCTGTTCCAAGGCGGCAGAGCCTGATCGTGAGTATCAACAGCCTCGCGTCGCCCAGCGAGACGGTGCTCCTGCAGGCCCGCGTGGCGGAGGGCGACTCGGCGGGCCCCTCGGGGCCGGGCATCCACCTCGAGCTGCTGGGCGGCGAGGAGTCGGCTAGTGAGGGTGTGTTTGTTCCTGCCCAGGGTGACGCTCGCTACCCGGGCCAACCCCCCCCGTATAACGCTAACGGCCCCCCCCCTCTCCCCCTTTATAGGCTGGGGAAAACCTCCAGAGAAGGCGCGAGGGCTCCTGAGAAGAAGTCCCGCCGCCTTCTGAGAAGGCCTCCTCCTCAGCTTCCCCCCCCCGTCGCCCGTCGCCGACCAAGGCCTCCGCGCGACGCTTCGACAGCTTATGGCGGTGCTGCGTCTCTCCCTCCATCGGTGCGCGGCGCTCGGGGTGCACAGGGGGGCGTCCGTCTCAAGCGCGCAGGCCGCTGCCATCGCATCGCGGCAGGCCACGCACGAGAGGCGCTCTTGCCGAGGATCGCTCCTTCTCTGCGGCGAGCGAGGGGGGGGACAGCGAGAATCGAGGAGGCCTTCTCGGAAGGCTCGGAAGGCCTCAGGGCTTCAGAGAAGTGTTCGAGGCCCTCCCCGAAGGCGCAGAAAACTTCTCAGAGGGCCGGCCGGGTTCTGGGCAGCCCCGCCGCCCTCTGAGAAGGCAATCCTCCTCATCACTTCCCCCCCCCCTCGCTCGCCGCCGATCATGCGTGCGGCTGAGAGGAGCTGGCCTTCCTGTCCACGGAGGACGTCTGGGCCAGCAGGGGCGCGCGCCAGCCCGAGCTGGGGGTCGCGAGGGCCTCTGGCGCGGCGTACGCGACCATCCGGAGGACGGACCCCTCGACGTACGTCATGGCGCGCGGGGCGGCCGCGCTGATGGTCTTCAGCGGCCGCTTCTCCAGGCACGAGCTGCAGGTGTCGTGCGCCTCGGGCCAGACAGTCGCCAGGGTGAGCCCGGGCGGCACCGAGGGCATGTACGAGGTGACGGTCTACACGAACACGGACGCGGGGCTAATCATTCTCGGCCTGCTCGGGATCGACAAGCTTGAGGTCGAGCCTACCCTGGGCAGCATCGGCAAATGAGCGACATCGGCAAACGGTAGAAGTCTCTGTTGCGTCGCTAGTCCCTCTCGCGTGTGAGTTGGCATGGCGTGATCACCATTGATCGGCCTCCTTCACGGCAAATTGATCGGCACAGCATTTCGTTGCTGAGTTGGTCGTGGCAGAAGTTCCCCTCGTTCCTCCCCTTTCCTCCTCCTCCTCCTCCTCCTCCTCCTCCTCCTTCTCCTCCTCCTCCTCCTCCCCCTACTACTATTCCATGCGCGCCGAGGCACTGTGCGCTCCTCCTCTTTCTCCTCCTCCTCCTTCTCCTCCTCCTCCTCCTCCTATTCCTCCTCCTTTTATCTTTTTGGGGTATAGATAAGAATTCCATGTCGCACCCCGAGGCCGGTCGAAAGGGCGGGCCGGACGGCTCGCCTGAGACCTCCTCACCATCTTAAGATCTTGAAATTTAATATTTGCAAGAGCTTCACGGATGGAGGGCGGCCCGTTTTCAAAATGCGTTTTTCGCTTTAGCGCCGCGCACATGCGTCTTAAACAGCAGCATGGAGTTCACGGATGGAGGGCGGCCCGTTTTCAAAATGTGGTTATCGCTTTAGCGCAACGCCGGTTATGTTTGAGTTTGCAGCAATTTCAAGGACTCGAATGGCCAACGTCCCAGAATGGTGTTTTGGCACGATCTCGGAACCTCAGGGTGCAACAGTCAAGCTGATTCGCGGTCTTGAAGTCCCAGGAATGTTGTTCTGGCACGATTCAGGATTGTTACACGCAACAGTGACGGCGCTTCGCGGCGATGATGTCTCGGGGATGACGTTCTGGCACGCTTCTGGACTCGGAACCTGTTGTCTTCCAACGGGGCATTTCCTTTCATGAAAAACGAATCCGTGTAGGGGCCTATGAAGAGAGTCGTTTAGAGGGAGGCTCTATTGCAAGATCGTTGGTGGGTCTTGGGCTTGCACTGGTCCTGCCCGGTCCTGCTCTTCCTCCGCTTCCTCCTTCTCCTGTTCGTCCTCTTCCTGACTGCGCCGCACCACGTCGCAGGGGGGGGGCAGGCAGGAGGGTCCCCTGAGAGCAGGCAGGATGGTGGATACCGTGGATCCTCGCTCTCGCCGGACACTTCCTTGAACTCTGTGTGCCTACATCTCGACGAAGTTAATAATCACGAGATGATGCAGAGCGGTAATACGAAGCTCCCGCTTGCACGGTACGCCCACGGCAAGCTCGTCTTTCAAGGGGGCACTTCGACTAGTTCATAAGAATACTTGTAGGGACGTGAGAGGAGGGGACTTGGGATGGAAGTGTGTGCGTGGTTGTGCGCATTTCAGCATCATTGAATTATCTTGGATTGTAAAGGCCTTCTGGTCGGTTCCGCCGACCCTGAGAAGTGAGCAGCTTGGGCGCAAGAGGCGACGGGGGACCTGGGGCAAGGGGCGGTGGCGGATTCAATGCGTGGGTGAGAGCGAACATGTAATGGTCATCGACCCGTCCCGCCACTGCGTCTGGGTCGTGTTCCAGAGGCGTTGGGGACATGTGGGAGATCTTTGGAGGCTTATTGAATCGCTTCGCTCATTCCGCCGGCCCGTGATATGGCATCGCTGGTTTTTGTCTGTGTGTTCGTTGCCCATGTTGCGCTCTTGGGGGCGGGTGTCGTTCGGACGCGTTGCGTGGGGAGTTTTGATGGTGAAGCAGTTCCCTGGGGGTCGTCTCTCGATGGGGCGAAATAGAGTCGTCGTCAAGATGCTTCTTTGGGGGGCCTCTTGGGGTCTGTTGAGAGGCCGTTCGGGGGCGCCTGGGAGACATGTTTGAAGCCTTCTGGGGCTTCTTTTGGGCCTCCTGGGAGTCTCCTGGGGCCTCTTGGCGACATCTTGGGGCCTCTTGGAGGCCTCTTGGGGCCTCTTTGGGACCTCCTGGGCGCCTTCTGGGACGGAGGGCTCCATTTTTGAGTTCTCGGTATCCCTCCTGAGTCCCTCTTGGGCCCGTCTTGGGGCCTCTTGGTCCGTCTTGGGCGGCACTTGGGCCGTCTTGAGGGCTCTCTTGGGTCGTTTCGGCGCCGTCTTGGGAGCTTCGTGGGCCGTCTTGGAGCGGTCTTGGGGGCCTCTTGGGCCGTCTTGGAGCGTCCGGAAGCCGAAAAAGCCAGAACACAAAAAACATCGAAAAAACCAATGAAAATCAACGATTTTGGCCTCTTGGGGCTCTCTTCGGAGGCCTCTTGGAAGGCTCTTGGGGCGTCTTGGAGGCCTCTTGGGCTGTCTTGGGGGCCTTTTGGGCCGTCTTGGGGTCATCTTCGGCGTCTTCGAGCGCTCTTTGGGCGTCTCGGGGGCCTCTTGGGCAGTCTTGGGGGCCTCTTGGGGCACTCTGAGCGCGCTCTGGGGAGCCTGAGAGGCCGCACCCAGAAGGAAAACCATCTCTGAGTAGACTTGGTCGGGCGGCGGTCGGGCGGCGGTCGGGCGTTGGTCGGGGTACTTTTCGCCGGGGGACCCCCAGGGGCCGCCCCGCGCGCGCGAACTAGAAATATTGTTAATACTGTTAACCAGTTACCGGAGATCTTAGCACGCCCTGGCCCGTTGGGCCGGCGAATTGGAAGGCTCCTACGGGCCTTTGTAGCCCACTTGGATGCGTCTGGGACCTCTCACGTAGGGGTCTTGGGATCGTGCTGGAGGGGTTGGCTTCCAGCGGTGCGCCAGTGGCGCGCTGTTTGGGCCCTTCTTGGGGCCATCTGGGGGGCCTCCTGGGCCCCTCTTGGGGGCCTCGTGGGCGTCTGGGACGCTACTGCGGCCGATGCGGCAAGAATGCTCGTAACATTCCAAAGCATCATCCGCTCGGGCTGACCCTTGGGACTTCAAGACGGCCCGAGAGACTCCCAAGCGTGCCGAGGTTGGCTCCGAGAGGGCTGTAGCTAGCATGGATCAGGGTTGTCCGGGTTGTCCAGGGGGGTTGTCCGGGTTGTCCAGGGGGCTTGTCCGAGGATTTTTGCGGATCGGATTTTTGTCATCGAGCACTGCAGCCAAACTAGCCCCAGGATCGCCCGAGTGCCTCCAGGATGGGCGGGGGGGGAGCGGGGAGGCGCTCCCGCCCTCGGGACCTCCTCCTCCTCTTCCTCCTCCTCCTCCTCCTCCTCCTCCTCCTCCTCCTCCTCCTCCTCCTCCTCCTCCTCCTCCTCCTCCCCCACCCGCGGGGAAGGGGTTCGAGGGCAGGGGGCTTTCCTTCGACTCGATTGCGATTTGCGTCGAGCCACCTCGGGCTGGCAAGCTCGGGGGGGCCCGGGGGGCCGCGGGGAGAAGGGGGGGAAGAGCTTCGAGTGGAAGAGCTACTCCCAGAGTAACACACCTCGACGACCACCCCAGGACTCCCCCTCCACGCACGCCGACAGGGTGGACGGATTTACTATCCTTCGCCCTCCTCGTGGTCCACCTCACTCTTCCTGATCGTGCCACGCTGCGCTGGGTGACGTAGAGTGCCCGTGGGCGGGCGGGGCGGGCTGCCATAGGTCCAGGGGGCTGAGGACGGGAGGGGGGGGTGAGAGAGCCCGAGGGAGCCCGAAGGTGTGCATTCCCACTCCTCGTCTGCTTCCTCCTCCTCCTCCTCCTCCTCCTCCTCCTCCTCCTCCTCCTCCTCCTCCTCCTCCTCCTCCTCCGTTGCCCGTTTGGCTCTAGAACGGACTCGAGGGACTTCGGATCTCCGATGGCAGCTGCAAGCGCGAGCCCCTTGCGCAACCTGATGGTGGAAGACGAGCCAAGCGTGCTGGAGACAGAGCTGCAGCTGCGAGGGGTAGGCTTCAACGATTATGTCGACGACACAGGACTCACGCTGCTCCATACAGCACTGGTCGTCTATGCGTTTCGGATTGTCGGCTGGCTGCTGCATTCCAAGGCTGATCCCAACGTGCCAGACAAAAGTGGGTTCACCCCCCTGCATTACGCTTGCACTGATGGCTCCGCGGGGGCGGTGCGTGCCATCGACTTGTTGGTAGTGGCATCTGCTGATATTTCCGCCTGCACAGCAGATCGCGTGGTTCGGATTGGTCGAACACCAGTATATGAATGTGGAGGGCGCACTCCGCTGCACCTAGCTAAGACGCCAGCCGTTGCGGAAAGATTGTTGGCTGCAGGTGCAGACGTCAATGCTCAAGATTTGGACGGGAACACACCGTGGGATGTTGTACTTCGCGATCCTCATGGGGGCTCCAAGCCACGGATCGACGTTGCGCAGGCAATGCGACCAACGGCCATGATACCAGATTTAGAATTAATCGTTGAGGCGCAGCGCAGTGATTACCGAAGGCGACAACAAAGGCTTACATTGAAGGACACTCGTCAGAAATTGGTCGAAAGCGCTGAGCTTCCTGATATCAAAGATGCTTCTGGCGAACCACCACCGCCCCCTGCATTGTGGAAACGCCCATGCGGCCAAGCGTTGGGCCGAAGTCTGGCCAGTTATTGGGCTACGTGCTCCCCCAGCCGTTGTGGATCCCCTTGGTGGAACGCTTAGGAGAGAAAGAGAGAGGAAGATGAGAGGGAGGAGAAGGAGGACAAGGAGAAGGAGGTAGAAAATCAGGCCTCTTGATGCCGTCTTCTGTTAGAGAGTCCAGGATTCGCCAGGGACTGGCTTCCTTTCAAAACAGCCCGAAGGGTTTTCGGAGGGTTCCCGAAGGGGTTGGGGCAGGTTTTCGTCGCTTTGGGAGGAAGCCGGTCCCTGGCGAACCCTGGGCTTTCTAAGCCTTGTGGCTTCCTGTGGGGGGGGGGGCCTGGGAGCCTCGGGAGGGTCTCAGGGGCCTGGGGCCTCCTGGGGGCCTCCGTCCGGCGGGCCTCCTGGGGACGCCTCGGGGCCTCCTGGCAGTCGATCCTGGGGGGCCTACAGGGGGGGGCTGTTCTTGGAGCACCTGGAGCCCAGAGAGGCGAGAATGCTGAAATGAGCATCAGGTTGGGCATGTCTCTCTACAGGGATGTTCAGAAGCAGTCAAAGATGGCCTGGGGGCGATTTTTGTTGCTATGTGTTGTCATGTTTGTATATGTTTGGCTATGTTTAACTCTTCCTCCGAAATCCTCCTGAAGGAGGACATGCCCGACCTAAAACTAGTAAACAAAAACCAAAAAGGAAATCCATGATTGTGGTCTCCTGGAAGTCCTTGTGGAGCCCTCTTGGGGAGTCGTGGGGGCCTCGTGGACCGTCCAGAGAGGGCATATTGCATCTTAGATTGTCTTGGAGCCATATTTTGGCGGTTTGGGAGGGGTCTTGGGATCGTTTTGGACGGCATCTTGGCCGTCCTGGAGGCCATGTTGGCTATCTCGGGACCGTCTTGGGGGGCCATCTTGGCCCATTTTGGCCGTCTTGGTGGGATGTTCTGCGGACGTTGAGGTCTTTCTGGGTGGCCGGCGGGCTGGGCCAGAGGCCGGTGGCAAGGTGTGGGACGGGCCAAAACAAACCAACGTTCGGCACGTTGGCAAGCAACAGGGGGCGGCGGGTCGAAGACGCCTACGGCGGAGAACCACCGCGGCCTGCCTTTTGGAAACGGCCACGCGGCCAAACGTCGGGCCGAAGCCTGGCCAAGCTATTGGACTATGTGTCCCCCCAGCCGTTGTAGAACCCGTTGCTGGAATGCTTGGGAGAGGAAGAGGAAGGAGGAGGAGAAGGAGGACGAGGAGGAAGAGGAGGAAAAGAAGGCCTCTTGGGGCCATCTTGTGACTTCCTGGGGACTTCCTGGGAGCCTCTTGGGGGTCTCTGCCGGACCTCGTGTGGACCTCCTGGGGCCTCTTGGGAGCCTCTTGGGGCCCTAGTGGGAGCGTCTGGGGGCCTCTCAGGGACCTCTTGGCCTTCGGAGGCCGTCTTGGGGGCCTCTCTGAGGAGTTGTGGGTCCCCCATTGTTAGCTTTAAGGCAGTCTTGGAGGTCTATGGGGCCGTCTTGGCGGCTTCTTGGGCCGTCTTGGGGCAATCTCGGGGGCTTGGAGCGTCGGAAGCCCGAAAGAGCGAGAACGCGCACACTATTGAAAAAACAACAATATCCTGGCGAAGGGTCCAACCATCTGGAGTTGTCAGTATCGCCGTTGAGGGTATCGCCTTCGGTGGAACTTCTTATGGGGCCACGATGCGTGTAAAGGGTGTGCCGAAATGGAGCGGGGTCGCTTGCGGTCGTAGCCATTGGGGCCTTCGGTGACGCTCCATAATGGGCCACGAAACGTGTGAGGGGTGTGCCAAAACGGAGCGGGGCCGCCATGCGAACGCCGCCATTGGGGTCTTCGGTGGAGCTCCCTATGGGGCCACGAAACGCTGTTATGAGCCGGGGAGACGCATGCGAACACCGCCACCGGGGCCTTTGGTTGAACTCAAATTGTACTGGGCGGGGGGGACTCATGCGAACACCGCCACTGAGGCCTTCGGTGAAGCTCCCTATGGGGCCACGAAACGTTGTGCTGGATGGGGGAAACGCATGCGGACACCACCACTGGGGCTTGCGGTGGAGCTCCCCATGGGGCCACGAAACGCTGTATCAGGAGGAAACGCATGCGGACACCGCCATTTGGGCCTTCGGTCTGGCTCCCCATGGAGCAGCGAAACGTTGTGCTGGGTGGGGGAGACGCATGTTGACACAGCCAATGGGACCTTCAGTGGAGCTCCCTATGGGCCACAAAACGTTGTACTGTCTAGGGCCTGCGGTGGAGCTCCATGTGAGGCCACGGCACGCTGTGCTGGGTTGGGTGGGGGAAACGCATGCGGACACCACCATTGGGGCTTGCGGTGGAGCTCCCCATGGGGCCACGGCACGCTGTATTGTATGGGGAAACACATGCGGGCACCGCAATCGGGGCCTTCGGTGGAGCTCCCTTTGAGGCCACGAAACGTGCGAGGGGTGTGCCAAAGTGGAGGTGGCGGTATCCGAACCATGCCACTGGAGCCTTCGGTGGAGCTCCCCATGAGGCCACGAAACGTGTGAGGTGTGTGTGTGTGTGCCAAAATGGAGGGGGAACGGCATGCGAATCGTGCCATTGAGGCCTTCAGTGGAATTCCTTGTGGGGCTGTGAAACGTGTGATGGGCGTGCCAAAGTGGAGGGGCGGCTGCATGCGAATCATGCCATTGGTGCCTTCGGTGGAGTTCCTCATGGGGCCACGAAGCGAGTGAGGGGTGTGCAAAAATAGAGGGGGGCGGCAGATGCGAACCATGCAACTGGAGCCGTCGGTGGAGCTCCCTATGGGGCCACGAAGCGTGTGAGTGGGTGTCTCAAAGTGATGGGGGCGGCATGCGCGCCCCATGCAACTGGAGCATTCGGTGGAGCTTCCTATGGGGCCACGGAACGTGTGAGGGGTGTGCCAGAGTGCAGTGGAAGCGGCATGCGAACCATGGGCCTTCGGTGGAGCTCCCGATGGTGCCACGAAACGTGTGAGGGGTGTGCCAAAGTGGAGGGGGCGGCATGCGAGCCATGTCACTGGAGCCTTCGGTCGAGCTCCCTATGGTGCCACGAAACGTGTGAGTGGTGTGCCACAGTGGCGGGGGGGCGACATGCGAGCCATGCCATTCGGGCGTTCGGTACAGCCCCCATTATGTGGCCACAAAACGTGTGAGTGGCGTGCCAAATTGGAGGGGGGGCATGCAAACCATGCCACTGGGGCCTTCGGTGGAGCTCCCGATGGTGCCACGAAACGTGTGAGTGGTGTGCCAAAGTGGAGGGGGGGGCGGCATGCGAATCCTGCCACTGGGGCCTTCGGTGGAGCTCCCTATGGGGCCACGAAGCGTGTGAGGGGTGTGCCGAAGTGCGGGGGGCGATGGGAGTGCCGAACTGGTTCGGATGTGTGGAGGGCAGATTCCAGGGTGGGAGGGGTGAGGAGCGGGAGGAGGAGGAGGAGAGGAGAGGAGAAGACAGGAAAGGAGAGGAGAGGAGAGAGGAGAGGAGAGAGGAGAGGAGAGAAGAGGAGAGGAGAGGAGAGGAGGGGGCGCGGGGATTATCTCCTTCAAAACTAGGACCCAACACCACGGGATGGTTGGGAACAATAAAGATGCTGGCCTCCGTCAGGGCCTCTTGGAGCCCTTTTGGGGCGTCTTGGGCGGCTCTTGGGCCGTCAGGAGGCCAGATTGGGCGTCTTTGAGTGATCATGCGCCGCTTCGGAGGCATCTTGGACCATCTCGGAGGCCTCTCGGGGCCCTCTTGGCCCGTCTTGTGCCCTCGTGGCTTCGAAAACGTCGCGCGGCAACAAGCAGGGAACTGCGCCACGCCCCGAGCGATTCGAGAAGTTGGGGGCCAGGCGTATGAATGTTCAGTCACTCGGGACGGAGGGCGGAGGACCCAGGGAACGTGAGGGCACTCAGCTTCGCGCTCCCGGCACGGCGGCGGATCTGCGTTGACGGCGACGGTGATGGAGAAGAGTTCGATATGGAGTGCGTTGGTTCAGACCAAACGCCAGCCTGTGGCGAAGCATGGGGTTTTGCTGGCCCGAATGCAAGCTGCGAGGAGTCGAGACTCATTGAAGATTCAGGGCCAAATTCACATCGCGTGCTCTCTGGCGCCCACGTGTGGCGAACGGATCCCGTGTTCTCTGCGACCGCTCACAGGCCTTTCGTTTCCACTTGCGCCCTTTCTTCCAGAGGTGCCCTGACCGCTGTGGCTGCCACCGACATGCCGCCTCCCGCGCAGCCACCGAACGAAGCATATGCATGGAATTATTGTGGCCATCGGCTCGGAAAGTTCTCTGGGCAGCTGGGCGACGGAGCTGCAGTGTGTGCTCGCATGGCAGAGGGAAGCTGGGAGCTATCTTGGAAAGGCTGTGGGCGGACGCCTTTCAGCCAACTTGGCACAACTGGTCGAAAGCGTGTAGGCGATTGCGCTCGAGAGTTCGTTCTCAGTGAAACAATGGCAGCGTTGGGCGTGCCATCGCACAGATGCCTGGCGCTATTTGTAGTACCGCCGCTGTGGCATGACGAGAAGCTTTCCCAACTTGGCCCGGATGCCCATGTCAAAGGCGTTGTCGCAAAGCATCGCGTCGCGCTTATATCAAAGGGGTGGTGCTCAGATTGCAAAGCAGTGAAGCAGACACTCAAGGACCTCGGTTGCAAGTTTGAAGAGTTGGAGCTCGAAGATGCTGATAGAGTGCCGACAGTCAGCGATGTTGAGGGCTACATGCGTTACATGCACATGAGCACAGGATCTCGAGTCGTGCCACACGTCTATGTTGGCGGCCTGTATGTAGGCGGGCATGATACGATACGGACGCTTCTGCGCCACGGGGCATTGAGGGAGCTAGTCCAGGAGAATTTCCCTGGCGCTGAGATCCACACTGAAGCTTACCGAGATGCTGGTGAAAGTGACGCTTTGCTCGTTCGTGCATGTCCAGGTGTTGGCTTCGTTCGCATGGGAACCTTTGAAATCTCCAACGGTTCTGACCTGGATCCCTACAACAGTCGTGGCGGACCGTCCGCAGGCAATCACGATTTAGTCACCCGGTTAGTGAGGTATGTCGGAGGTGAGGCTGGGGTCAAGGCCGTGCTGCATCGTGCTTGTCATAGTTCGGCTAAGTTGGTTGCCAGATGGTCTGCGCTCGGCTTGGTTCATGGCATGCTGAACACGGACAATGTTCACATCCATGGTGTTTCTATAGACACCGCAGGATTCTGTTTCATGCCTGCCTTTGATCCAACGTACGATGCAGAAGGGCCACCAGCGGCACGTGGTCGGTACAGCTATTGCAACCAGGCCTCGGCAATGTATTGGAATTTGACGAGGCTGGCGACGGCCTTTTCGCAGGGAGGGCGCTATCCAGCGGACGAAGCTGCTGCAATTGTTAATCAGTTCCCACGAGTGTACCAGCGTGCGTGGCTCGCAGAGATGGAGAAAAAGCTTGGCCTTCCAGCTTGCCAAGAAAAGCACCAAGCATCTGCAGTCAGGAGGTTGATACGAAATCTGTTCAAAGTAATGGAGACAACGTTCGCAGACTTCACGGCTGTTTTCCGTTGTCTCATGCCTCCGTTGCCCACAAGCGGAGAAGAGTTTCTCAAGAGGATGCGCGATTGCGGTAATCGGTTGCCCGGACTTGCTACCCGAGCCGAATCGTTGCAGAGGCGTGCCAATCGCATCCGACCAGCAGAGCCTCGAGAGATATTGTTGCAGCTGGTTTCAGATCAAAGTGTGAAGTCTAAGGCAGAAATGCGTTTGTCGAAACACGATGAAGCTGACCGTTTGGAAGATGCTGCTTTCTTGATTCGCGGTTCAGGCACCACCCACGAAAGTGATGTGATTGCGTGGAGTGGGTGGCTTAGCGCCTACTCAAAGCATTGTTCTTCTTTTGGTGGCCCTGATCAGCAGCTGATGGCGGCGTCAAATCCTAGCTTTGTGCCTCGTCCATGGGTCGTTGATGCCGCTGCGCTTGCAGCAGAGCATGGTGACTTTGCTCCCGCGCAGCGCGTCCTTGACGCACTGCCCAGTGCGTACAATGACACAGAAGACGTTGGAGCTATTGCTGGCGTCGACCCAGAGCAGTTCGTCCCACTCCTCCATCTACTCCTCTCCATCATCATCCACTTCCTCCTGTCCCTCGCCCTCCATCCAGCTGCCAATGGAGCCGCGGCTGCCACTGGTGAACCGGATCGGAGCTGGAGTTCCTCCTATTCCTCCTCCCTCTCCCGAGGCACGGCGCGCTCCTCCTCCCCCCTCCTCTCCCCCTCTTCCTTCTCGTCCTCCTGCGCCTCTCTGCGAAATTCAATCCGAATTTCCACGGGAGAGCTGCCTCCCGAGAGATGGTTCGTGGACCTTTCGCGGCCCTCACCCACAGGCAGGCCTCGGCCACGGCCTCCTCCACACGAGCTGCTGGGCTTCTCTGACCAGCCTCCCTCGGCGACGTGCCATCTCCCTCCTCCCCCGCGTCGTGCACTCGCCACGAGCACAGCGGGAGGACTCGAGACCCCCGGGCTCCGTGGCCGTCTGGGCTGGCCCGTTCCGCCGGACGCGCTGGCTGGCTGAGCCACACGAGCCGAGAGCTGCGAGCTCACCGGTGAGGCCACCGTCGGAGACTGATCCCGCCCAGTCGCCGCTGCCCCTGCTGCGCCGCCATGGTCGCCGAGGCCAACGCCAAGGCTAAGGTGTTGAGCCTCCTCGGCGAAGCGACGGTGAGGGGAAGGCGAGCAGGCATGTCACCACCGTGGCAGACGCAAAGTCAAGAAGTTGAAACAGGGAGCATCTCGGGCTGGGAAGGGGCTCGCTGTTCCTCAGGTTCCTCAATGGTTGTTCATCTAGCACTCCTCGTGCACCCAGGCGCTTTAGGGGCCTCAGAGAGGCCTCGCCCCTGATCCAGAGTGTCTTGTGGCAGCAGCTTGACAGCACTCGACCGGCCGGGAGCCACTGCGGCAAGAGGGACATCGATGCGTGTGCCTGGCGCGGAGTGCCATCCGACCCACCTCGAGGAGCGGGCTTCGAGGGGTCCCCCAAACGGGGGCCTGGACAAACCAGGACAATGGGCGCGCCCGAGCAAATGGCAGCCGTGGGGCGAAGCATCATCCACCCTTCGCCCTATCCGGGTGAGATGTTCAAAGTGTTGGTTGGCAATGCCCCTGTTTGTCTGTCCTTGCTCAGGGGGCCCTGAGACTCCACGAGCACCTCCCGTGCAGTGTGGGTCGGCAGAGGGCCCCGCTGCGCGAGGGCGTGCAGGGGGATCGAAGGAGTGGCCCTCGCTGTCTCGGCGGGAGGCCGCGGGGGAAGGCGGCGGAAGCAAGACGAGGCCGCCTCCGCCCGCGGAAGCCGGCGGAAGACAGACTCGGAAACCGGAGCATGTACATTGCCAGTGGCGGGCTGTTGTTCAATCCCAGGGCTTTTTCAGGGTCGGGGACGACGTTGGGGTGGTGAGGTGTATACTTTGTGTATCCGCTTCCCAGGGAAAGAACGGAAAATTTATACACCAGGGTCCCGTATATACCAGGATCCGTTTTCTTGCGCGAGTTTCAGTGCAGGGCCGGAAAAAAGCGTCGGTGCGTAGAGTTCGGTTCCCTACGACATCTGCCTCCCAAGAGATGGCAAGCTTGTTTAGCTCAGGGTTTCCAGAACTCCCCCCCTACACACAGCGCCCTTCCGGAGCCCGAGAAAATCGGCGCGGGCATTCCTCGGCCGACGTCCACCCTCGCTCGAGATCGAACCCCAGACCCGTCGCGTCGAGGCAGGAGGGGGAGGTTTTCCCCCCCGCCTGCGCCTCCCGGGGGGCAACTCAGGTGGCGGGGCATGCGGCCATGGCGGCACCGCGCGGCGCTGTTCTGCTCGGCGGGGGCCGGGGAGGAGACTTTCTTCGGGGCCGCCGGGGTGGCAAGTGAGAGTGGGAGCGATGTAGCTGCATGGGAGGGGTGCGCAGTGAACAAGTAGCCGTGCGATGTCCTTCAGACATTCAGCATCAGGGACAACATTTGGGGGGGATGGCGCAGGTGGGGACGCATCGATCCCGAATGGACCATTGATTGCCGATAGGGGTCAGATAGTACATCCTGTACAGGAGCGTGCGGATTCGTAATCGGGGTTCTATCGCCGATCTTTCGGCGATGTGTCGCCGATTTCAGGTCGACGCTTCCCCCCCCTGGAGCTGGTCCCCCTCAACGATGCCCCCCGGCAGGCGAAGCTGCGGGCGATGGAGCCCACCGGATCCCTCAGGCCTTCGGTAGGAGGAGGGTGCCGATGACGTTGCTGCGCCCCACGGCAAAGCCCGCTGCAAATCGAGAGCGGCCGAGAGGGGGGTGTCCAAGAGGGGGAGGAGGAGGAGGAGGAGGAGGAGGAGGAGGAGGAGGAGGAGGAGGAGGAGGAGGAGGAGGAGGAGGAGGTGTCCAGCGCCCCACTCGAGGAGGAGCCGTTGTTTTTTATAGATCCCCGTGCAGGAGCGCAACAAGGGGGGCGGGGAGGGGGTGGGAGCAGCTCCACAGATCATCCGAGCTTGTGCCACAGGCTTGGGCGGGAGCCCAGGCCCAAGCCTCATACACAAGAGAGAGAGAGAGAGGAAACAAAAAAAAAGGGCGACGAGGCCACGGAGCACCCCCGTGGGGGCAAGCATATAGACGCGGGCCCCTCCCCCCCGCCGCCCAGAGGGCCGAGGCAGGACGGGGAGGAGCAAGGACCGGATGCGGGGGGGCGCGGGCCCCCCCCTCCGCCCAGCGGGCCGAGGCGGGAGGGGGAGGAGCAAGGACCAGGGGCGGGGGGGGGAGCACGCAGGAGGCGGAGCCTCACAAGGCACGTCTGGCGCCGCGGCCTCCCAACCGCAGTCTCTGCCCGTTGCCGAGGCGGTTGGCCTGAAAGGAGAGCCACGAGATTGTGTCTGCCCCTGTCTCGTAATCGGGCGTCACTGCGCGGCCAGGCCAGCAGAGTGCACCCTGACCACAGCATCATGGCCGCACGTGGAACACGGCCGCCCGAAAGACGCCGAGGGATGGAACCTGACCGGCAACACATCGCATGCTCGTCGAAAAGTCAAACGCGCTTGTCTTGAGCGGCCATCACACAGAGAACACTGCCAAAATGGCTTTGGGGATTCGGGGTCTGATGCTTGGATGTGTTTAACTCAAGCGCTTGTCTTACATGCTTTGGGACTCGGGGTCTTGGCACTTGCGGTCGAGAGGGAGGAGGCTTACGGTGGAGGAAACAGCCCTGGAGGATTACCGCCAAGTGCTTACGAACCACCGCCACCACCAGGTAAATTAATTCGACCTTGCATATCTGCGCATATGGTAGCTGTGCCCCAATTGCACATTCGCAGGCAAGCTCGACCGCTTACTCGTTGACAAAAAAGTGTACCGATGAAACGGCTCGCTCCTGGGCCTCGTCAAGGGTCATGTGAGACTCAACCTTGAACACCCTGACCGAGACCCCAGGACCACATTTCAGCACCGCGTCGAACCGAAACTAATCCGAGATATTCGAGGCGGGGAACTCACCACGATTGATTGCCTCAAATCTCAAATAACATAACCACTGCCAGTGACACATTGCATAGCAACTGAAACAGGAACGGAAGCTGTGGCCTGAAAATCTTGGCAGCATTCAGTTCACCTCTTTGGATGGATTGCTTCAACTGTAAAGGAGCTGCCCATGACCTCAGCGGCTGCATAAATTCATGGTCGAGGTGTGAGTCGTCAGTGAGAATCTTGAGGGCCCAGTCTGCTTACTTTGACCTGGGATCCGCGGAGTGGTCCCCCCCCCGCTGGCATCGCCAGCCAGGAACAGCACCACCAGGAGACGAAACCGCAGAGGAGTCGAGGTCGAGGTCGAGGGAGGTTCCTCGGGGAGGGGATCCACTTCCACCCAGTGCCCTGGAACTAAGCCACGGTGCCAAAAGCATGGCAGCTCGCCAGAGTCCTGACGAGCACGCTCGATGATCGAATTGGGCGCAATGCACTCGAGCTTATCATTGCAAAGGCACCCGTAGTGGGCATGCTTAGGCGTCTCAGGGGCCATCTTGCATCGTGGGAAGAGAGGGTCCACCTCATGGAAACAGTTCATGAACGCGCTGGCCAGGCTAAAGGTTGCCGGTGGCAATGGCTTGGTGGACCCCGAACACAGCATATGTACTCCCTTTTGCGTTTCAGGCTTCCCAGAAACTTGCGCATGCTTCCAAAGTCGGGGATACCTCTCTCGAGACCCCTGGCCAAGGTACTCATGCGAGGCCGCAGTCCACAAGGACCAATGAACCGAAAGTGCAAAAGGAGAACATTCAGGGAAGGCCCAGGGCGCGGGAAGCGTCGAAGGGCCCTCGGCGGCGACCGCCAAGAACGGCGTGTGGTCTTCGGACGCTTCAAAGCTCGAGCGTCAAAGCCTTGTATTCTTTTTCGCTACATGATGACCGACAGTTGGCTTGTCACGGAGGGGGCGGATGGCTGCATCGCCAGGAGCAGGCGAGCGAGGGAAGCATTCACCTGGGCACCGCCTACTTGCGCAAGCAGCCAGAGCGCCACGTGACACCTGTTTGGGAACGCCTTCGCGCCTTCATGCGTACGGCAGCCGTTTCTACGGGGCTGCGTGTAGGATGTTCTCGGGCAGGTGTTTCGACCATCTTGTTCAGACCTGTGTTGGAATCGTCCTCCTCCTTCGCCTCCGAGTCCTCCGAGTCCTCCCCCTCCTTCTCCTCAGGGTGCGTTGGGACCAGAGCTTCGAGGCGGATCCAGCCGCCTCCGCGAGGGCGCAGCCGGAGGCCGAAGAGAGCCCCAAAGGCATCCCAGAGCCCTGATCCTCGATGCCCTCTGCCTCCCTCCGGAGGCCCCAGGGCCGCCTGAGATCCGAGTCGGTGCGATTCGACTCGCTGGCCGGAGCCGCGGCTCCGCTTCGGCTTGATCCGATTCCATCCACTGGCTGCTGGCCGGGGCCAGCTGGAGCCAGGCGCGGCGGCCCGATCCGTCTTCGAGCCGATCCGATTCCGCGGCTCGATGCAGCTCAGGCCTGCCCCCCCCCCCCCCGGGCAGCCCAAGTGAGCGCGGGCGGGGCGAGGACGAGGGGCAGATCGTTTCAGAGCGCTCCAGGACGCGATCCCCGACCTCTCCCAGCCCGATGCTGCCCTGGCCCTGGCTGCGTCTCAGGCCTGCCCCCCGCCCCCCACTCTCGGGCAGCGCGAGCGAGCGGGGCGGCGCCGAGCTGATCCTCGTAAACGCGGGCGCCGGCGGCTCGCCTGCGGCGCCCGCGGGCGAGCCGAGCCGCCCGCCCTCGGCGTCGGGGTGGCCTTGCAGAAGGCCCCAGGGCTCTCCCAGTGGCGCTCCTCCTCCTCCTCCTCCTCCTCCTCCTCCTCCTCATCCTCATCCTCATCCTCATCCTCATCCTCATCCTCATCCTCATCCTCATCCTCATCCTCATCCTCATCCTCATCCTCATCCTCATCCTCTCTCATCCTCATCCTCATCCTCATCCTCCTCCTCCTCCTCCTCCTCCTCCTCCTCCTCCTCCTCCTCCTCCTCCTCCTCCTCCTCCTCCTCCTCCTCCTCCTCCTCCTCCTCCTCCTCCTCCTCCTCCTCCTCCTCCTCCTCTCCTCCTCCTCTTTCCCCTCCTCCTCCTCCTCCTCCTCCTCCTCCTCCTCCTCCTCCTCCTCCTCCTCCTCCTCCTCCTCCTCCTCCTCCTCCTCCTCGGGCAGCGCAAGCGAGCGGGGCGGCGAGTCGCAGCGCTCACGCGTGGCGCGGTCGGCTCGCGGAGAGGCAGTGCAGCCCTCGAGGGACGGGTGGACCGCCGGCGCGCTCCCGCCGCCACGCGCGGCCCGCGGGGGGTGAGGCGGCTTCTCTGCTTCCCTCGGCCGCGCGTACGAGTGACCCTTCGCCTCGAGTGGCCTCCAGGTGCGGACCCACATCCTCGAGCCTCCATCCTTCATCGTCCATCCTCGATCCTCGATCCTCGATTCACGGAGGAGGCGAGAGCGGGGCCGCCCTCGCCCTACAGGGCTGACCGCGGCGCCGCCTAGGCCTCCTCGATGGGGTCGGAGCAGATGGGGTCGGAGGATCGCGCTGCATGTGGCGCGATCCTCCGACCCCATCTACTCGGACCCCATGTGGAAGGCCTCCAACATCGGAGGCAGCGGTATGGGCGAATACCGTCATAATCAATAGTAGGGATGCGTTGCTTCATCACGGTTACTTTGGCATCCTTTCTTCGGCCCATCTTGAGCCAATGTTGACGTCAAAGGAGCTAAACATGGTAAACGGGACTTCCAAGGGTCTTGCATTCTCATTTTGCATCCTTACTATGGATGTTGACTGTAATCCAGGCGCGGGCGTCGCACGTATCCGCCAGGGAGCTTCACCGAAGACTTGGACCATCTGCGCCATTGGATACGTGTATTGCTTCCCCCTGAGCAGTTCGCCCCTATCAACACCTCCGACCCCAGAGCACCCCCCAGCGCAGGCCTGCGAGCTTGGATTGGGCCTCCCAGCGGCCCCCCGAATGCCGCGCACCAAACGGTCACTCTTGCTCAGGGTCGCGCTGGCGCGCAGCCGGTTCTCTGGCCAGCGACGGCCTCTTCTCGGGCGGCCGCGCGGCCGCGTATGCTGCCGCTTCTGGCCATCACGCAGCCGAGCTCGAAGAACAGAGACTGCGCAAGCATGGATCTTCGGAGGCCCAGCGCCGACCCAAGAAGAATCCGGGCGGACCTCCGACGGCCTATGTGCTTGCGCACTTTTGCGCAGTTCGCCGCGGCGTCGCAGGTGCTGCCGTCCATCCTCGTCGTCCGGCCGTCGTCTTCCTCGTCGTCTTCGTCGTCTTCGTCGTCGTCGCCGTCGCCGTCGTCGCCGCCGCCGTCGTCGTCGTCGTCGCCGTCGTCGTCGCCGTCGTTGTCGCCGTCCGTGCGTCCGTCCGTGCGTGCGTCCGTCCGGCGGGCAGGTGCTGCTGGCGCCCGCGGCCGGCGCCGGCGCTCCTGAAGAGCGGGTCGCCGGCGCCCCGGAGTGGGAGGCCGGGGCCGTCCCGGGGCAGGACCGCGGCGGGCGGCTCGCCGCCCTCTCTCCCCTCGTCCCTGCCCCTCCCCCTCCCTGCTCCTCCTCCCCTCCTCCTCCCCCTTCCCTCCCTCCTCCCTCCCTCCTCCCTCCTCCCTCCATCCCTCCCTCCATCCCTCCCTCCATCCCTCCCTCCATCCCTCCCTCCATCCCTCCCTCCTCCCTCCATCCCTCCCTCCTCCCTCCCTCCATCCCTCCCTCCTTCCTCCCTCCTCTCTTCCTCCCTCCTCCCTCTCTCCTCGTCCGCCCCCACCTCCTCCCCAGACCTCCAACGTGCTGGAAAATATAAGACTTAGGTTTTTCGTAGTGGTCCCGGGGTAGTCAAAAAAAACGACCCGGGATGAAAAAGCCGGCCCTTGGGAAAGGATCCAGATTTTCGGGGACCCCACATTGAAAGAATCAAGACATCGAATCTCTGGGTCCCTCTCCCTCCCTCCCTCCCTTCTCCCCCTTCCTTCCCTCGTCCCTCCCTCCTTCTCTCCCTCGTCCCTCAACCCTCCTTCTCCCTCGTCCCTCCGCCTCCCTCCTGCGATAGGCCTTCGCAGGGTCACTTGGACGCCTCGGCTGTGGGACCTCCTCACCCCCCTTCCTCCCTCCCTATTGCTCGTCTTCCTCCCTCCTCCCTCTCCTCTGCCTCCCTTTGCGTATTGGTGCCCTTTTGGGCCGCTCTTGGAGCGCTCTTGGGGCCCTCTTGGGGCCCTCTTGGGCCCCTCGTGGGCCTCTCTTGGGCCGCATTGGGGCCATCTTGAGGCCTCAAAAGAACATCGGAAGCGAAAAAGCGAAAAGGCAAAAACATTGATTTCCCCTAGGTCTCGGAGCCAGGCTGGCCTCTTGGAAGGGGGTCCTCGGAAGGATTGGCAGGCACAGGAAACCGTCTTGGGGCCATCTTGAGGCCTCTTGGATGTGCGTCGGAGGCTATATTGAGCCATCTTGAGGTATATTCACCCGTCTTAGAGACCATCTTGGACTTGTGGAGGCCCTCTTGGAGGCATCTAGGACCAAACGCACCCTCTGACACATCGGGCCCCCCCTATTCCAGGCCCAGGGGAGGGGGTAGGTGGAGAGGTCAAGCTACCCACACGCCCGCAAGCCGTCAAGCTCACTCCCACCCGCCCTCCCAACACATAGATAACACCCGAGCCTGAGCATGTTCAGCGGTCGTCTTTGGATGGACAGCCACTGGGAACCAAAGCCGATCCCAGGTGCGCGACAATTAGGCGAGGTGCGCCACGCGTGCCAGGGGCGCCACGCGCGCCAGGCACCCCTGGGGCCCGAGCGTGCCAGGCTCGCCTGGTGCGCCAGATGCGCCACGTGTTCCGAGTGCGCCAGGTGTGCCGCACATTCCAGCCGCGCCAGGTGCGCCACATGCTGCAGAGTGCGTCAGGTGCGACTGCGCACGTGACAGAACACATCGAGAAACAGGTCGGCCCCCGCCATCCCTATCGAAAACCTATGCCCATCAGTGTGTCTGGTGGGCCTGCGCACAGCAGGCCACGCGCCACCACCCCCGCGTCCCTGACAAAAACCACTTGACAGTGATCGCTGGATGCCCGGGCATGCATGATCCAGATTTAGCCGTGAGGTGCATGTTGCATTGTTTTTTGTCAGGAATGGTAGCCCTGCGCGCAGCAGGTATGCTGACACCTCCGCCGTCCCTGTCAGGAACAATACAAAGTGCTCGCGGGCCTCACGAACATGACTCAAGACTTTGCCCCAAAGTGTACTTCGCATTGTTTTTTGACAGGGATGGTGGGGGGGGCCGCATCGGGTTGGTCGCGCATGCTCCACATGTAGAGGCAAAGTGCGGTTTCTATTGTTTTTTGACAGGGATGGTGGGGGGCGGGCCAGCATGGGGTCGGCATGGTTCCGGGTTGGCCGCCGGCCGGGTGGGGGAGGTGGTGTACATTCGTAAGGAACAATGATAAACCCCTCCCCAGGGCAGGGCAAGGAGAGACTCTAACAGAGATAAGAGACACCTGGTTTTCATGACCTACGCCCAAGGGGCTGGTGGGATGTTCTGCGATACGCGCCTTTCCTCAGAGCGTGAATTACCTACCCCGCTTTCGCTTCCAGGAAAAACCAAGTCATACCACGCGCCTCCTCGTCAAGCGGCCTGACCAGTACAGGCCGTAGTTTGGCATCGCTTGGTATCTCTTGGAAGCGAGGGTGGTCAAAAGCGAGGTAGGTTTGTTTCCCCCCTATTTCCGCACTCTTCCTGCGAAGCTTCACCACAGTGTGAGTAAGGGACGGCGCGAGGCCAGCGAGGCCCCACCTGCGCACTTCGACGTCGAGCGTCCCTCTGCCCGTGGACCCTCCACTGGGCGCGGGGGCGCACCGGCGCCTCGACGGCGCCGCCGAGCGGGCGGAGGTCTCGCGGAGCCCCCCTGCACGCCTCGGACAGAAGCCGCCAACAGGCGGCGGTCGGAGGGCGGACGTCCGCCAGGCGCTCGCAGCGCAGAGAGCTGCTCGCGCGGGTCCCTCCCCCGCTCCGCCCCGCCCTCCACCGTGGCCATTTCGCCCTCCCAGGCCGGCGAGCGACGGCCCTGCACTGCCTCTCATCCCCGCCGCGCGGAGCCCCCAGAACAATGAAGGTGCTCGCGGCCGCGCTCGCGCTGCTCGTGGCGCTGGCCTCGGGCGGGGGTGTCACCCCGGTGCAGAAGGTGGTGCAGCTCATGGAGGGCATGCTGGAGATCGTGGGGGGACAAGCACGTCCGTATCCGCGGCCTCGCGGGCCGGGCCGTTGGGCCGCGACCCTGCGGGCACGGGGCGGGTCGTTCGCGGATTCCTCGCGTGGAGCGCATCTGTGCCACCGCGTATCTGCGGGATCGCGCCCCAGAATCCAGATTGGGAGGTCGCGGATACGGATATGTTCGCCGCTCGTGAGGAGAAGGGGAAGTCGATGAAGCACGAGGAGCAGGTGCAGTTTGCGGCGTTCAAGCAGTTCTGCGACGACACCAGCGCCGCCAAGGAGGCCGCCATCAAGAAGGCCGCCGAGAAGATCGAGGTCCTCAAGGCTGACATCGAGATGCACATGGCCAACATCGCCAAGCTGTCGAAGGAGATCGCAGAGCACGAGGCCGACATCACCGCCTGGACGTCGGGCGACGACAACCGTACACTGACACCGATCCTAACCATGCCCATCTTGGGCCCATCATCGATGCATACGCCGTCGTGCGTATGCACCGATGCCGGGCCCATGATTGGCCTGGCCCAAACCTGTGTCGATGTATAGTTGCCGTCGCCCTTACTAGGACGGGCGACATGAAGGCCGCAACCAAGGTGCGCGAGATCGAGAAGGCAGGATCCGTGTCGATTCCACCGAGCCAGTTCGAGCCTGCTCCAGTCGAAGCCACAAGGTACACCCAGTTTTCCATGCTCCCCGATCAGTGCTTGCACTGGAGGGTTTCTCTCTTCGCATCATCGGCAGTTTCGCTGGGAGCTCTGGGGGTTCGCCCTGTGGGCGCCGCGTTCCTCCTCCTCCTCCTCCTCCTCCTCCTCCTCCTCCTCCTCCTCCTCCTCCTCCTCTTCCTCCTCCTCCTCGTCCCTCCTCCCCTCCCTCCTCCTCCCCCCTCCTCGAGCGCCTCGTGCGTTGCCTGAGCTCTCTCAGCCTTCGCCTGGTCGCCGCCCCGCTGGGCGCCTCGCGGCCGCCCGTGGGCACCCCGTCGCTGCCCGCCGCGGCGCTGCGTCGCCGCCTCCGGTGGGGCGCCTCGTGGCCGCCCATCGCCGCCTCGTCGCCGGCCCCCGTGGTGCGCTGGCACCACGCAGAGGGCACCACAGGCACTCGGTGCATTACCGATCTCGACCACCTTTAGCTGGCGACGCGTTTCGGGCTCCAGGTCCTCTTCTGGGCCAGCAGGCCGCGGTGTCCCACGCGCGTGCCGTGCAGCGCGCGAGCAAGGCATCAAGAGGTCAAGAGAGTGCGGGGGTGAAAAAATCTGGCTGCCCACCCACCCTACCTAGGCCAACTATGCCTTGGTGCGATGGCACCACAGGCATGGCACCACGCAGGTGGCACCCGTGGTGCGATGGCCTGTGTGCACAACTCACACGGCATGCGGGAAGGGAGAGAAACACACAGACACAGGTCATCGTCGGCTACCAGGAATATCTGGGGGAAAGATGGGAAGTGGGGGGGAGGGGGAAGGCGAGAACCCCGAAAATGTTGGAAACTACGGGGGGATCCGTATGAAGTTGTGTCCCTGGGCGCCTACAAACAAAGCTTCCACCACGTAGATTGCATCACACAGCTTGCACACACACACACACACAAACACAAACACACACACACACACACACACACACATAGCCTGCACCGCACAGCGTACACCACAGAGCTTTTGCGCCTCAGAGTTTGCAGCACAGTAGTTTGCACCACACGGCTTGCATTACAGAGCCTCCACCACATAGCTTGAACAACACCTATTGCACAACCTTGCTTCCGCCGCAATGCTTGCACTATATTGGCTTCCACGAGAAGCACTGCACATACACACGGGCTATACGCATTGTTTGGGCCCACGCTGGCGTACAGTTCTACAGAAAAGATGCTGCCGATGTTGAGCTTTTCTAGCGCGGGCCAGTCAACTCTACGAGATTCCGATTAAGTTTCCCGTCAGAAGTCCCAGGCGTCTAGCGATTCGATTCCGATTCGAGTCCGTTTATTGGCCCATGTGCTGGCCGCGACTTGAGTTGAGAATCATCCCTCCTCCATCCTCCCCCCCTCCTTCCTCCTCCCCTCCGTCCTTCACTCTTGCTTTTCAGGCTCGTTCTATGAGCTTTCGGCGGCCATGCCGCCAAGTCCCACTGGCACACTAACAGCGCACTCCACTGCGCGGATCCGGCGCCGGTGACATACAAGAAGCTCGGAGGACGCGCAATGGGGGGGCGATCAATAAAGCAGAGAGGGATGCGGAAAAGGGGCCTCTCAGGGCCCCGAAAGGAGCCCTCTTAGGGCCCCAAAGAGGGCCTCGAGGGCCCGAAATGGGCACCCTTCTTCCCCTCCCGCTTCTCGCCCTCCACAACTCGCGCTCGGGAAGCTCCCCCCCCCAGGGGAGGGGGGCCCTTTGCGTGTCCTCTGGTTGGCCCCCCGTCGTTGCCCCCCCCCGCGTGGCCCCCCTTCGCTGCTCCGTCGTGGCCCCCCCTTCGTTGCCAGCCTTCGGTGCCCTCTCTCTCGGCGCCCCGAGGGTTGCGCCCCTGTGCTGCTCCCCCTCGCTGCTGCTGCCCCCTGACCTCCATCGTTGCCCTGTCGTTGCAGCCCTGCGTTGCCCCCCTTCTCGGTGTCGATTCGGTGCCCGTTTTCGTTGCCGCCGTCATCGCCATCGTTGCCCCCCTGCGTCGCCTTCGTTGCACCCCTTCGTTGGCTATGCGTTGCCCCCCTTCTCTTTCCCCCCAGTCAAGTCCCTTTCGGTGCCCCCCTTCGTTGCACATTCGGTGCCCCTCCGTTGCCATTTCGGTGCCCCTTCGATGCCCCCCTTCGCTGCCCCTGCCTCCCCTTTGTTGCCCCCCGTCGGTGCCCCCCGTCGGTGCCCCTCCGGGGCCCTTATTATCCTCCTCTTCCCTCCTTCTCTTGCTTATCCCTGCACCCTTCCTTCTCCTTCCTCCGCTTGCTCATCTCCCTCCGCCTCGTCGATGTGCGCCGACGTGGCTGGCGGAGGAAAGGAGGGAGCGAGGGAGGAGGACGAGGAGGAGGGAAGACGGATAGAGGAGGAGGAGGAGGAGGAGGAGGAGAGGAGGAGGAGGAGGAGGAGGAGGAGGAGGAGGAGGAGGAGGAGGAGGGAGCGAGGGGAGGAGGAGGAGGAGGAGGGAAGGAGGATGAGGGGGAGGAGGAGGAGGAGGAGGAGGAGGGAGGAGGAGGAGGGAGGAGGAGAGAGGGAGGAGGAGAGGAGGAATGAGGAGGGGGAGGAGAGGAGGAGGAGGGAGGAGGAGGAGGAGGAAAAGGAGGACGAGGAAGAGGAGGAGGAGGAGGAGGAGGAGGAGGAGGAGGAGGAGGAGGAGGAGGAGGAGGAGGAGGAGGAGGAGAGAGGGGAGAGGGGAGAGGCCACAGAGCAGCGGGGAGCAGCCAGGGGGCAGGAGCAGCCAACGGCGCACCCGAGTGGACCCCGAAGGGGCCCTCGAAACCCACGCCAGAAGACATCCGAGAGGCCCCCGATGCCGAGCCGATCCGATCCGACGCGGCCCGCACAGAGGGGACCCTGAAGGGGCCCTCGATGCCGAGCCGATCCGATCCGACGCGGCCCCCACAGGGGACCCTGAAGGGGCCCTCGAAACCCAAGCCAAAAGACATCCGAGGGGCCCTCGATGCCGAGCCGATCCGATCCGACGCGGCCCCCACAGAGGGGACCCTGAAGGGGCCCTCGAAACCCAAGTCAAAAGACATCCGAGGGGCCCTCGATTCCGAGCCGATCCGATCCGACGCGGCCCGCACAGAGGGGACCCTGAAGGGGCCTTTGAAGTCCAAGTCAAAATACATCCGAGCGGGCGGCCATCGATTCCGACCCGATCTGATCCGACGTGGCCCCTGGCCGGTCCGATATCGCTCCGATTCCTCAACCATTGTCCGAACCGATTCGGGTTCGAGCTCCGATGTCCGAGCCGATGCGGCGACTGCCGGCTCGAACCCAGCGTGAAGAGATCCAACGAGAGTCCGATCTCGGTCTGGCTTCCCGATCCGATGCTGGCCCTTGCTGGAAGGCCGCCTACGATGACATGCACAAGGACCTGTCGGAGTCTGTCTCTGCGCTGGAGCGCGCCATCCAGGTGCTGAAGACGCAGGCGTACAACCGGAAGCAGGCCTCCTTCGTGCAGGTCGCCGCCCTGAAGCAGCTAAGGCTCATCCCCGAGCGCGCCAAACGGGCGCTCACCGCCTTCCTCCAGGAGGACCCCGAGTCCGACCCCCTGAGCGTGACGGCCCCAGAGGCGTTCGGCTACGAGTTCCAGTCGCACAGCATCATCTCCATGCTGGAGAAGCTGCTCGACGAGTTCATCGAAGAGCGCACCAAGCTGGAGAAGGAGGAGAGCAACTCGGTCCACCAGTACAAGATGCTGATGCAGGACCTGACCAAGCAGACCGAGCAGGCGAAGTTCGACGCCTCGCAGAAGTCCGAGCTCGTGGCGAAGAACAAGGAGGATATGGCCAGCGCGGAGGGCGAGCTCGCCGAGACCAAGGACCTGATGGACGCGGACCAGAAGTACCTGGACGACCTCACCGCCGAGTGCACCCAAAAGGCGGCGGACTTCGAGTCCCGCCAGCAGCTCCGCGCGGAGGAGCTCGTCGCCATCGAAAAGGCCATCCGGCTGCCTGCGGCAAACCCCGCCGCAGTGCTAGCGCAGCAGCGGAGCAGGGAGGAGGTTGAGTTCAAGACTTTTTCTGGTCAAGCGCCACCTACGCAGAGGCACGGGTCTTAAACTCCCCCTCTTTGACATAGGTTTCCGTCTCCCCCTCCTCCTCCTCCTCCTCCTCCTCCTCCTCCTCCTCCTCCTCCTCCTCTTCCTACACCTCCTTCTCCACCTCCTTCTCCTCTTCCTGCTCCTCCTCCTCCTCCTCCTCCTCCTCCTCCTCCTCCTCCGCCCTCCGCCCTCCGCCTCCGCCTTCGCCTTTTGCCTCCTCCACTTCCACCCCCCCCCCGCCACTCTTCGCCTCTGCCTCCCTCCCCACCTCCTCCTCCTCCTCTCGGTTCGTCCCCCCCCCCCTCTCCTCCTCCCTCATCCTCCTCCCTCCTCTCTCTCCTCCTCCTCCTCCTCCTCTCCTCCCTCCTCCTCCTCACTCCTCCTCCTCCTCCTCCTCCTCCTCCTCCTCCTCCTCTTCCTGCCCCTGCTCATCCTCCTTCTCCTCCTCCTGTATCCTGTGCGCTCCCTCGGGGGCTGTGAACTGCGCAACTATCGCCACGTTCGCGGGCTCCTGGGAGGCACGGTGGAGTGCAGGGCAACGAGGATGAAGGCGAAACTTCACGCCTCCCTTGGGGGTCGCGAACTGCGCAAACGTCGCCAAGTTCGTGGGTTCCTGAGAGGCACGGCGGGGTGGACGGCAGCGCGGATGAAGGCGAGACTTGGCGCCTCCATCGGGGTCTGCGAACTGCGCAACCGTCGCCACTTTCGTGGGCCCCTGGAGGGCACGGCGCAATGCAGGGCAGCGCAGATGAAGGCGAGACCTCGCGCTTCTTTCGGGAGGTGCGAGTTGCGCAGCCGTCGCCATTTTCGTGGGCTCCTACGAGGCCCGGCGGAGTGCAGGGCAACGCTGATCATCTGAGACCTCGCGGCTCCGCCGGGGGCTAAGAATTGCGCAGCCGTCGCCATTTTCGTGGGCTCTTGGGAGGCACGGCGGAGTGGAGGGCAGCACAAATGCAGGCGAGACCTCGCGCTTTCTTCGGGGGGTGCGAATTGCGCAACCGTCGCCATTGTCGAGGGCTCTTGCGTGGCACGGCGAGGTGGAGGGCAACGCGGAGCAATTAAGACCTCGCGGCTCCGTCGGGGTCTGCGCAATTATCACCATGGTCGTGGGTTCTTGGGAGGCAAGGCGGAGTGCAGGGCAACGCGGATCATTTGAGACCTCGCGTTTCCCCCGGGAGTTGCGAGTTGCGCATCGCCATGTTTGTGGGCTCCTGGGAGGCACGGCGGATACAGGGCAGCACGGCTAAAGGCGAGACCTCTCGCCTACCTCGGAGGATAACGAGTTGCGCACCCGTCTACTTTCTCCTGCGCTCCTGGGAGGCACGGCGAAGTGCAGGCAACGCGGGTCATATGAGACCTCGCGGTTCCATCGGGTGTTGCGAATTGCGCAGCTTTGTTCATGGGCTCCTGAGAGGCACGGCGGAGTGGATAGCAGCACTGGTGAAGGCGAGATGTCGCGCTTCCGTCATGGGTTGCGAACTGCGCAACCGTCGCCACTCTTCGTGGGCCCGTAGGAGGCACGACGGAGTGCAGAGCAACGCAGGTCATTTGAGAGCTCGCGCCTCCCTTGGAGGCTGCGCATTGCGCAACCGTCGCCACTTTCGTGGGCTCCTGGGAGGCACGGGAGTGCAGGGCAACGCGAATCATCTGAGACCTCGCGATTCCGTCGGGGGGTGCGAGCTGCGCAACCGTTGCCATTTGCGTTGGCTGCTCGGAGGCACGGCGCAGTGCAGGGCAGCGCAGATGAAGGCGAGACCTCGCGCCTCCTTCGGGAGGTGCGAGCTGCGCAACCGTCGCCACTTTCGTGGGCTTCTGGGAGGCACGGCGGAGTGCAGGGCAACGCGGATCATCTGAGACCTCGCGCCTCCCTCGGGGGCTACGAGCTGCGCAACCGCCGCCACTCTCGTGGGCAGCTCGCTGTGGAAGAGACCTGGGAAGCTTCTTTGGGACTGCTTTGAAGCGTCCTTGGGCCCTTTCGCACGCCGGTGGGGGGCCGATCGGCCCATCAGGGTGTCGGGCCAGTCTTGGGCGCGATGGGTCCCAGGGAGGCTCGGTTGAACCATCTCGGGGACGGCCAGACAGGCCTCAGGAGTGTCTTGGAGCCCTCTTGGGGCGGTACCGGGCCGCCTTGGCAGGTCATCGGGCCGTCTTTGAGGTCGTTCGGGAGCTTCCTGGGGCTCTCTGGAGCTTTCCCTGGGCCGTCGAAAGCCAAAGCCGACGCAAAGTAAAAGCAAACATCAGGTTGACCTACAGATACAGCGATGTTACTATATATATATACATATATATACACACCCATACATACATACGTACATACAGACAGACAGACAGGCAGGCAGGCAGGCAGACAGACACATAGACACACATACATACATACATACATACATGCATGCATGCATGCATGCATGCATACATATACATATACATATACATATACATACGTACGTACGTACATACATACGTACATACATACATACATAAAACGAACAAACAAACAAGCATTAACAACACAAGTATACATACATGTGTATATATATATATTCATACATGCATGCATTCATGTGTACAATATAGATGTATACAAACATGCATGCATACATATATACATACATGCACACATAGACGCACACGTACCTACACACATGCATACATGCATGCATGCATGCATGCGTGTATACAGAAAGGCGTGCATGCACACATACAGACAGACCGACAGACATAACGACAGACAGACATACATGCATGCATGCATACAAACATGCACACGCATGCATACGTACGTACATGTGCACATGCATACATACATGTATGCATACATGCGTAGGAACATGCATACATGAATGCATACATGCATACATGCATACGTGCCTGCATGCATCCATATATGCATGCATACACACACGCAGGCACACATGCACACACAAACACATACGTACATGCATACATACACGTATGTACGCATTCATGTATGACTAAACACATATTTCCATGCATATCTACATACATAAGTACATGCCTGTATGCGTGTATGCATACATACATGCATGCCTGCGCACATACATGCATGCAGGCATGCATGCATGCAAGCATACATACATGCGTACGCACGTCCACGCGCACATACATCCATGAATACGTGCATGCATGCGTGCATCCATGCACACCTGCATGCATACAAACAATCATACATAACTAGATGCATGCATACGTACATGCATACATAGATACATGCATGCATGCACGCATACCTACATATATATATATATATATATATATACAGACCTGCAGATATGCAGACACGCATACGCACATACCTGCATACATGCATACATACATACGTACATACGTACATACATACATGCACGTGCAGATAGAGTGGATTGCTGTGTTGTGTCATTGTGTTGTGTGCTTCGTGGCCTCGCTGGGGGCCTCTCTGGGTGTCCCTTCGGGGCCTCTTGGGGCCTCCTTTGAAGCATGCTGGGGCATTTAGGAGGGGGCGTCTTGAGGTGGTGTTGGTTAGGGGGGGGGGGGCGTCTTGAGGTGGTGTTGGGGCATACTACAGCCGTTTGCGGGCAGGTTCCCGAAAAATCACCAGGAATCAGAATTGGGGGGCGTCGTCTAGACCACGCGCAGTTCGAGGGGGGTGGGGGGACTACAGAAAACATCAGGTAACTGGCCAGGCAACCAGCATTCTAGCATCCCACGATCGTGCAAGCACGGCGGCGGATCGAGATCATCTCCAGCTCTTCCGTGAAGGGCCACGCAGAGACGCACTTGCCGTCCATGCTGCAGAAGGCGAAGGGGCATTCCCTCGCCGCTCTACGGGTCGACGCCACCTCGCAGCAGCTGCAGGACCATGTGGCGCAGTACCTCCAGCGCCAGGCCCACCTCACAGGCAGCCGTGTGCTGTCGTTGCTGGCTGCGCGCGTGCGCGAGGACCCGTTCGGTAAGGTCCGCAGGGGGTATCTGCGCACCACCACAACCATACCTGGGCAGGGCCATCCTGGGCCCTACCATGGCACATAAGCCCTCCTGGTCGAAGCCAGGGAGGTTGTAATACACAATCCTCAGGCCCAGGACGGTCTCGGCCAGTCATGGCGGTGTTGGTGCGTAGCTGCCGTTTCCGTATAAGGTGAAGAAGTTGATCAAGGATACGGGCGGTTCAAACCGCATTGAAAGCGAGGCCAGCCCCTCCAGAGCGGTCGGCATGAAGGAAGGAGGGTTACTCTGAGGGAATGGGGTCCCAGCCTCCCAATCTGGCCCTGGGGCCGAAAGGCTTGGCATCCGGGGCCCGCTTCCCTCAGGGCAGGGAGTCCTTCGTGCCAAGCGCAGAGGGGGGGGCAGAGTCGGAGGCTGGGATGTGTTACAAGTCCACCCGCCTGCAGGACCTATCTTCCTGGACCTCAAGAGACTGTGGACATGGATACACTCGGGCCCCCCATGGGGCCTCGGCCCAAGGAGTTCCATATCCACTGCCTCCATGAGAAAATGGAATACCAGCTCCCCAGGTTGCGGCTCTGCATAACTCCAGCTTCGCAAAGAGGAGGAGGAGGAGGAGGAGGAGGAGAAGGAGGAGGAGGAGGATGCCAGACCTCGACCACCGTTGAGGCCTCGGCCCTCACCGGGAGGACCTCATCGTGCGCCTGATGGAGGAGGCCACGGCCGAGGCGGAGCACAAGGGCTGGTGCGACACCGAGCTTGCCACCAACGAGCACACGCGCAAAGAGAAGACCGCGGCGGTGATGATGCTGCACGCGGAGATCGACGAGCTGTCGGCGTCGATCGCAAAGGAGACGCAGGAGATCGCCGAGCTCGTCGCCGGCATCGCGGATCTCGACAAGGCCATGGCCGAGGCCACCGACCTCCGCAAGTCCGAGAAGGAGAAGAACGAGGAGACCATCGCCGACGCGCAGGAAGCGCAGACCGCCGTGGCCCAGGCCCTGACGGTCCTCAAGGACTTCTATTCGAAAGCTTCGGAGGCGACGGCGCTGCTCCAGCAGGGGCAGCAGCCGACTCCGCCGCCGATCTTCGACTCGCCGTACAAGGGCATGGGCGACGAGGCCGGCGGCGTGGTGGCCAGCGGCGGGCAAGACAGGGGGGCCGGGCGAGGGGTCGGCCACTTCAGGCAAGCAGGGGGCTAGGGGACCGCCCCTCGAAGAGCGTGCGCCCAGCACCTTCGAAGAGGCGGGAGAGAGGGGGGGGCGGCCCACTTCGCCCTGCCTCCTTCGTGCGCGCCGCCGAGGTGGGCATGCTGGAGGTGATCGAGTCCGACTTCGCCCGCCTGGAGGCCGACACCAAGGCCCGGGGAGACGGAAGCTGACCGCCACCGGCCAAGCCTCCCGCAGGCCCCACCCCCTTTCAGGGACCAGACCGGGCCTGCGGCAGGCGTGGCGGCACGGGTCAGCTCTCCCCTCTCCCGGAGAAAACAAGGCGGCGGAGGCCGCGGCGCAGAAGGAGTACGACACCTTCATCACGGACTCCAGGGTCGACAAGGAGGGCAAGGAGACGGACGTCGAGCACAAGACGGCCAAGAAGGGGGCCGAGGAGCAGGCCCAGAGCTGAGTCGGAGGAGGAGGAGGAGGAGGAGGAGGAGGAGGAGGAGGAGGAGGAGGAGGAGGAGGAGGAGGGAGGAGGAGGAGGAGGAGGAGGAGGAGGAGGAGGAGGAGGAGGAGGAGGAGGAGGGAGGAGGGAGGAGGAGGAGGAGGAGGAGGAGGAAGAGGAGGAGGAAGAAGAAGAGGGAGGGAGGAGGGAGGGAGGGAGGGAGGGAAGGGAGGGAGGGAGGAAGGAAGGCAGGAAGGACGAAAGGAAGGAAGGAAGGAAGAAAGGAGGAGGAGGAGGAGGAGAAGGAAGCAGGCCCTCTCCAGCGCGCAGTCGGACCTCGAGGGCACCCAGAAGGAGCTGGACGCCGCGCTGGCTTATTTCGACAAGCTCAAGCCCTCCTGCGTCTCGGAGGGCGTCGACTACGACGCGCGCGTGCAGCGCCGCCAGGAGGAGATCCGAGCGGCGCGGGCCACGTCCGCCGACCCACTGACGCCGAGGTTCTTGGGCCAGGTCGCCCGCGGGAGCGCGTCGCGGTCCTGGGCCCGAGAGCTGCCCTTCTCGAGGAGAGACGGCGCGAGGCCGCGAGGACAACCGCGCAGCGGATGCCAACCACAGTCTCCACCTCCTTGTCACCCGCGAGGTGGTATGCGTTTAGGCTTCAGGGTGCCCATCGGGAACCCATCGGGGAGGAGAAATGTTGGGGGGCCTCTTGGGGACTAGGGTCCTGGGAGCGTCTCGCGCCGCCGTCTAAGGCCTCCCAGAGACAGTTCAAAAGCGCAGAACTCTTGACTGAGTTCCATGCTTCTGGCATCCGCGTCCGTGGAGTACCCAAGAGGTCCTCGGACCGTCCCGAGAGACGTGCGGAAGCCACGACGGGCAGCTTCAAACAGCGTGCGCCCGTCCTGATGCAATTGGCCCATCGCTCGGGGGGTCCAAGAATGCCCCTAGGGCGCTCGTGCCCCGCGTACCCCCAGCCACCCCCTGGACTCGCGGATAATCAATCCTACACTCGCAGTGGCCGCCCAAGGGAGGCCGGAGGATCGAGTCGCTCCAGGAGGCACTGAGGATCCTCAACGGCAAGGAGATAGCGTGAGCGCCCCCTGCTCTGCCTGCGGTGCTGCCTGCCTCCGGAAGGGGCGGCGTGGGCTCCCCCGGCCGCTGCGACGCCCCCGCCGTGAGGCGCGACGCCCCTGCCGCGAGGTGCACGCCGCCGCCGCCCGGAGGAGTCAGGCCCACGGCAGCCCCGCGGTGCTCGGCGGCACGCTGCGCCCTGCCGGCGCTGCACGCCGGGCCGCCGGGCCGCGGTGAGTCGCAGCTGGCCGTCCCGGCCGCGCGGCACGGGGCGGCCTCTCGGGTCCCGCGCGGCGGGCGGCCGTCCTCTCTCGCCGGTCTCCGCGGCGACCGGGTCGGCGGCAGGTGGACCAGACGCAAGAGGGGCCCTTCGCTGGAGTGACCTCTGGTGCAGGCACGTCGGGGGTCCCCCGATCGCCGAAGGCTCGGGTCGGGCGAAAGGGAGGGATTGGGAAAGGGGGGGTTACGAAATTTGCTGCATGCAGCTGATTTCGGCCTCACCGAGGGGCCCATTCCTCGATACATGGCCGCCTCCGGCGCCGGGAGGCGCCGGGAAAATCAGCTACGTGAGCTGATTCTCAAACCCCCCCTTTGCTATCCCCCCCTTTCGCCCGACCCGAAAGGCGATGCGATGGTAGCGCCTTGTGTGCGTGTGTTTGGTCCCCCCCCCGCGCGGCCCCCAGAAAGCAGCGCACCGAAGTCGGAAACTGGAACATGTACGTTACCAGTGGCGAGCGGTTTTTAAAATCCCCGGAGTTTTTGAGGGTGGGGGACGACGTCCGGGTGGTGTGGTGTGTGCGTTTGGTTTTCCGCTTCCTGGGGAAACAATGACAATGTACACACCAGGATCCCATACAAACCAGGATCCGCTTTCCTGTGCAAGTGCCAGTGCAGGGCTGGGAAAGCATCGGTGTATCGAGTTTGCTCCCCCCAAGTAGATCACTCTCACTTAGGGTCGCTCTTGCGTGTCGCCGTGCAGGGGCCCCCCGCCTGCGATGTTCTATTCTAGCTGGTGCGCGGCCTGGCGCGGAGCGCGTGAGGAGGCCCCGGCCGGCTCCGCGGCGTCGTGCTGTGAGTCCGGGCCCGTGTTGGCAGAAACACCCGCCTTCGGTGGGCTTCTGTCTTGGCTCTTTCGGACGGGGCTGGGACGAGGCTAAGCCGTTCCAGAGCGTTCTGGAACGCTCTCGGAGCGCTCCGTAACGCTCTGAGGAGGGCGCGGCGCCCGAGACACCCTCCAGAGCCGCTGGATCTCAGAGATTCTCGATTCGTCCTCACTCGAATCTATCCTCGTCCTGGCTTCGTTTTACTCCTCATTCTGAACCTCAGGACGGTCCCTCACTCCTGACCGCGTCTGAGTGGGGACGTATTGCAGAAGGCTCGGTCCGTCTGCGGCCATTTCGGACGCTCTTTAGGGCCACCCTGGCGGCTTCTTCGGGGGCCCTGGGGCTTCCCGACGGTATCTTTGGGAGCACATTGGGCGATCGAGGCGACCTCGGGTGCCGGCGTAGAAGCATCTTGCGGCTTTTTGGGTGCACCTTAGAAGTAGGAGGGTCTGTTCGGCCTTTCTGGAGGGACCGTACATGGACATTATATTCGAACCCTGTGGCCCAAGATGCCCCCCCGAACCCGCGAATTTAATATTGATGGCGTGGCGACGAGGGGGGCGTGAGTGGACAGAAATATTCGAACCCCAAAGCACCGCCTTTGCTGAGATCAACATTGATGTCGGGGGCGCGGGGGTGATTCAGAATCTCCCTCGAATGTGCGAGGGTTCGAATATATTGTCCATCTACTGGAGGTCTCTGGGCCAGATTCCAGGATCCATCCCCCTCTCCGCCCCCCCTCCTCCGTGGCCATTTTGCCCCTCCCAGGCCGGCGAGCGACGCCCTCCCACTGCCCCGCCTCCTCACCGAATCACACACGGAGCCCCCCAGACGAATGAAGGTCCTCGCGGCCGCGCTCGCGCTGCTCGTGGCGCCCGCTGCGCTGGCCTCGGGCGAGGGGGTCACCCCGGTGCAGAAGGTCAGGGCTCGTTTCGATTCCTCCGATTCGATCCGATTCGATTTCGATGGTTTCCGATTCCGATTCGATTCGACTTTGGATTCCGATTTGGGCTCCGATTTCTCAACGGAGGCCTACTAGCCTGCCGACTTTGCCGATTCGACTTTTCCCGACTCGGCTGCTGGTTTCCGCCGATCCGATTCATTTCGATCGCCGATCCGACTTATCGATTCGATTCTGGGCTCCCCTGGAAGGTGGTGCAGCTCATGGAGGGCATGCTGGAGATCGCGGGCGGAAAGCATGTCCGTATCCGCGGCATCGCGGGCCGGGCCCCTGGGCCGCGACCCCGCCAGAACGGGGCGTTTCTTGGAACGGATGCCCCGCGCCGAACGTATCCGTGCGACCGCGTCTCCGCGGGATCGCGCCCCAGAATCCAGATTGGGAGGGCGCGGATACGGGTATGTTCGCCGCTCGTGAGGAGAAGGGGAAGTCGATGAAGCACGAGGAGCAGGTGCAGTTCGCGGCGTTCAAGCAGTTCTGCGACGACACCAGCGCCGCCAAGGAGGCCGCCATCAAGAAGGCCGCCGAGAAGATCGAGGTCCTCAAGGCCGACATCGAGATGCACATGGCCAACATCGCCAAGCTGTCGAAGGAGATCGCAGAGCACGAGGCCGACATCACCGCCTGGACGTCGGGCGACGACAACCGTACACTTGACACCGATCCTGGCCATGCCCATCTTGGGCCCAGCATTAATCCACACGCCGCCCCGGCCAGGCCAGGAAGGCGTGCGTATGTACCGATGACGGGCCCAGGATTGGCCTGGCCCAAACCAGTGTCGATGTATAGTTGCCGTCGCCCGCACTAGGACGGGCGACATGAAGGCCGCAACCAAGGTGCGCGAGATCGAGAAGGCAGGATCCGTTTCTGGTCCACCGGTCCAGTTCGAACCCTCTCGAGCCGAAAGCACAAGGTTGCCGATTCGATGCTAGACGCTTCGCGTAACCCCACCAGCCCATCCAGAAACGATGCCCAGAAGAGTTGCCCCGATCAGGGATGTGGAGGAGAATGCAGTGGAATAAAGGGTTGTGTAAGACTACCCCAAGAGGGGAAGGATGGAGGAGGAATCGGAGGAGGAGCAGGAGGAGGAGGAGGGATAGAGAGAGGGGTAGGAGGTAGGAAGGAGGACGAGAAATGGGCAGATGAGGAAGAGAAGAAGGAGGAGGAGGAGGAGGAGGAGGGCGAGCAGAACGGCTAGTGGCCTCTTGGATGCCTCTCGGAGTTTCTTTGGATGTCTTTCGAGAGCTTCTTGGAGTCCACCTGGGGCGTCTAGGGGGTCTCTTGGCAGTCCCGGGGGCCTCTTGAGGCGTCTTGGGTGCCTCTGGGAGGCGTCCTGGGGGTCTCCTGGGAGCCTAAGGGGCCTCTTGAGGGCCTCTTGGGGCCTCAAGGGCACCTCTTGGGACCGTTTTGGGGCACCCTTGGAAGCCTCGGGGGTTATCCTGGGGCCATCTCGGAGGAGATCGATCAAAGGAGGGGCGCTCCTTACTTAGCGTCGCCCCTCCAGGAGGCCAAAATGTTGCCAAAACCTTGGTGGAATCAATGATTTGGGCTTCCTCGCCGAGGTCATCTTGGACGCTACAACCCCTCGCGAAACCTCCCGTCCAGGTCCAGGTTGAGGGGGTAGGGGGAGGGGCAACCCCCTCCCCGAAGGAGTAGAAGGGGGGTTGGAAGAAGAAACGACTTAAACCACTCACGCCCAGAGGGCTAAGGGATCCCTCGGTCGACCGATGTTTGATCGGCTTGGCTCGCCAGAGACTGATTTGATCTTTTCCAGCGCTGGCGAATCGAATCCACTAAGTGTCAGTCAGGCTTCCCGAGATACGTTTCATGTGTCTATCGATTTGATTCCGATTCCGATTCGAACCGATGTGTTTCTCCCCCCTCCCCTCTCCCTCCCCTGCTCCCCACCCCCTTTCCCCTCGTTCTATGAGATCTCGGCGACCACGCCGCCTCGTCACACTGACGCACTGCCTGCGCCACTCCACTTCACGGCGGATCTTGCGCCAGCGACATGAGCGAAGCCCCTCCCCTCCCCCCAGCCCCCCCCCCCGCCAGGGGCCCTTCCGGTGCCCCCTTCGTTGTATCCAATTGCTGTGTCCTTTCGTTGTCCCCCCTTCGGTGCCCCTCGTTGCCCCTTCGTGGGCCCTTCGGCCTCCACCTTCGGTACCACCTTCCGTTGCCCTCCTTCGGTGCCCCCCTTCGATGCCCATCCAGTGCCTCCCCTTCGAAGCCCAACTTTCGGCGTCCTTTCGTTGCCCCTTCGGAGCCTCTTCGTTGCCCACGTTCGGTGCCCCTTAATTTGCCCTCCCTCGTTACACCCTCGGTGCCCCTTCGTTGCCCCCTCTTGGGGCACCTTGTGCATGCAGTGCATGCCAGAGCCGATGCGGCGACTGCCAGGTCGAACCCAGCGTGAAGAGATCCAACGAGAGTCCGATCGCGGTCTGACTTCCCGATCCGATGCTGGCCTTTGCTGGAAGGCCGCCTACGACGACATGCACAAGGACCTGTCGGAGTCTGTCTCTGCGCTGGAGCGCGCCATCCAGGTGCTGAAGACGCAGGCGTACGACCGGAAGCAGGCCTCCTTCGTGCAGGTCGCCGCCCTGAAGCAGCTAAGGCTCATCCCCGAGCGCGCCAAGCGGGCGCTCACCGCCTTCCTCCAGGAGGACCCCGAGTCCGACCCCCTGAGCGTGACGGCCCCAGAGGCATTCGGCTACGAGTTCCAGTCGCACAGCATCATCTCCATGCTGGAGAAGCTGCTCGACGAGTTCATCGAAGAGCGCACCAAGCTGGAGAAGGAGGAGAGCAACTCGATCCACCAGTACAAGATGCTGATGCAGGACCTCACCAAACAGACCGAGCAGGCAAAGTTCGACGCCTCGCAGAAGTCCGAGCTCGTGGCGAAGAACAAGGAGGACATGGCCAGCGCGGAGGGCGAGCTCGCCGAGACCAAGGACCTGATGGACGCGGACCAGAAGTACCTGGACGACCTCACCGCCGAGTGCACCCAGAAGGCGGCGGACTTCGAGTCCCGTCAGCAGCTCCGCGCGGAGGAGCTCGTCGCCATCGAAAAGGCCATCCGACTGCCTGCGGCAAACCCCGCCGCAGTGCTAGCGCAGCAGCGGAGCAGGGAGGAGGTTGAGTTCAAGACCTTTTCTGGTCTAGCGCCATGAATGAACCGGCGCGGGTCTTGAATTCCCCCTCCTTCCCCTCCTCGTCCTCATCCTCCTCTTCTTCTTCCCTTTCTCCTCCTCCTCCTCCTCCTCCTCCTCCTCCTCCTCCTCCTCCTCCTCCTCCTCCTCCTCCTCTTCCATAGCCGTTCTGGCTCAAGATGTTTTGTTCCTCAGCGGACCCTGTGGACACCACTGATCCGAGCTGGCTGCCCAGTTCTTTTCCATAACGGGTGTCCCCCGCTCGCCAGTGCGCGACCAGCGCCTCCAAGCGGAGTGCGCACCTGGAGCGGAGGGCCCGTACGCCCCCACTCCGTACCCTGCTGACGTGGCACTGGCGCCCTGGCACCGCTCGGAACGGACGGGCCAGTGGCGCTGCAAGTCGTGCCGACGCAAGGGCGGGACGCCGTGGCGGCTTCGCGCTGACGAGCTCGTCTGCGACCAGCGCAAGCTGCACAAGAGCACCTGTTTCCTGGGTAAGGTTCCTGCTGTTGCTGCTGGCGTTCCTTCTCCTCATCTCCACCTCCTCCACCTCCTCCTCCTCCTCCTCTTCCTCCTCTCCTCCCATTCCTCCTCCTCCTCCTCCTCCTCCTCCTCCTCCTCCTCCTCCTCCTCATCATCATCATCATCCTCCTCATCCTCCACATCCTCCTCCTCCCCCTCAAACTTCCTTCCCACGTCACCGTCGCAGTGATCCAGGAAACTTTTCGGCGGCTCTGTTGGAGCGTCTTGTGGCCCTCCTGCCCGCCGCTGGTATGCGGTACCATCCCTTCGGGGCGTTCATTTGAGTTCCCTATGGGGCCACGAAACGTGGGAGGGGTGCGCCGAAATTGGTTGGGAGACGCTATGCGGCACCACCACTTGCGGGGCTTCGGTGGATCTCCTTCTGTCCACGAAGCGTGGGAGATGTGTCGAAATGGGCTGGGGGCGCTATGCGGTACCACCCCCTGGGGGTTTCGATGGAACTCCCCAGGCGTCCACGAAATGTGCAAGGAGTGTGCCGGAAAGGGCCTGGGGGACACTATGCGGTACCGCCCCTAGGGGGGCATCGGTGGAGTTCCCCATGGGCCCACAAAGTACGCCGAAAGGGAATGGGGAACCCTATCTGGTACCACCATTGGGGGGCCTGGGTGGATTTCCTTTTAGGAGCAAGAAACGTGTGATATGCTGTGGCGAAATTGGCTTGAGGACGCTATGCGGTACCACCCTGTGGGGGCTTCGGTGGTTCTCCTGATGGGTCCACGAAACGTGCGAGCAGTGTACGGGAATGGGCTGGGGGACGCTATGCGGTGCCACGCCATGGGGGCTCTGGTGGAGTTCCCTATGGGGCCACGAAGCATGTGAGGGGTGCGCCGACATGGCATGGGCAGGGGGACCCGATGCAGTACCACCCCATGGGGGCTTCGGTGGAGCTCCCTATGGGTCCATGAAGCGTGTGCGGGGTGCGCCGAAATGGGCTGGGGTACGCTATGCGATGCCACCCCCTGGGGTCTTCGGTGGAGCTCCCTACGTGTCCACGAAATGTGGATTGGGGGGCGCCGAAATAGTCATGCGGAGGGCGGAGGCACAGAGGAGAGAGGAGGGAGGGCGAGGCGGGGTGGGAGAGGACGCGGGGCGCTGTCTCTTCAAAACGAGGACCCAACGCCATATGATGAATGGGAAACAAACATGTGATGCCGTGCGCCTTCATTGCGCTTTGTAACTTAAGGCATCGCTGGAGGTCTCTTTGGACGTCTATTCGGGGCCTCTTTGGAGCATCTTGGTGCATTTAGGGGGGGGGGCGTCGTTTGGACCACGCGCAGCTCGAGGAAGGGGGCTGGCGAAGTACAGCGCAGAAAACCTGTCAGATAACCAATCAGCATTCTAGCACCCCACTATCGTGCAAGCACGGCGACGGATCGAGATCATCTCCAGCTCTTCCGTGAAGGGCCACGCAGAGACGCACTTGCCGTCCATGCTGCAGAAGGCGAAGGGGCATTCCCTCGCCGCCCTACGGGTCGACGCCACCTCGCAGCAGCTGCAGGACCATGTGGCGCAGTACCTGCAGCGCCAGGCCCACCGCACGGGCAGCCGTGTGTTGTCGTTGCTGGCTGTGCGCGTGCGCGAGGACCCGTTCGGTAAGGTCCGGCGGGGGCATCTGCGCACCACCACAACCATACCTGGGCAGGGCCATCCTGGGCCCTAGCATGGCGCACAGGCCCTGGTCGAAGCCAGGGAGGTTGTAATCCACCATCCTCAGGCCCAGGATGATCTCGGCCAGTCATGGCAGTGTTGGTGCGTAGCTGCCGTTTCCGTATAAGGTGAAGAAGTTGATCAAGGATATTGGCGGTTCAAACCGCCCTGACAGCGAGGCCAGCCCCCCAGAGCGTTCGGCATGAAGGAAGGGCGGTTATTGAGGGAATGTGGCCCCAGCCTCCCAACCTGGCCCCGGGGCCGAAAGGCCTGGGATCTGGGGCCCGCTTCCCTCAGGACAGGGATTCCTTCGTGCCAAGCGCAGGGACGGGGGGGCAGAGTCGGAGGCTGGAACGTGTGACAAGTCCACCGCCTGCGGGACCGATCTTCAGGCGGTGGACCTGGACACACTCGGGCCCCCCATGGGGCCCCAATGAATTCCGTATCCACTGCCTCTTATGAGAAAACGGAATATCAGCTCCCAGGCATTGGCTCTGTATAAACTCCAGCCTCGCGAAGAGGAGGAGGCCAGACCTCGACCACCGCTGTGGCCTCGGCCCTCTCCGAGAGGACCTCATCGTGCGCCTGATGGAGGAGGCCACGGCCGAGGCGGAGCACAAGGGCTGGTGCGACACCGAGCTTGCCACCAACGAGCACACGCGCAAAGAGAAGACCGCGGCGGTGATGATGCTGCACGCGGAGATCGACGAGCTGTCGGCGTCGATCGCAAAGGAGACGCAGGAGATCGCCGAGCTCGTCGCCGGCATCGCGGATCTCGACAAGGCCATGGCCGAGGCCACCGACCTCCGCAAGTCCGAGAAGGAGAAGAACGAGGAGACCATCGCCGACGCGCAGGAAGCGCAGACCGCCGTGGCCCAGGCCCTGACGGTCCTCAAGGACTTCTATTCGAAAGCTTCGGAGGCGACGGCGCTGCTCCAGCAGGGGCAGCAGCCGACTCCGCCGCCGATCTTCGACTCGCCGTACAAGGGCATGGGCGACGAGGCCGGCGGCGTGGTGGCCAGCGGCGGGCAAGCCAGGGGGGCCGGGCGAGGGGGTCGGCCACTTCAGGCAAGCAGGGGGCTAGGGGGCCGCCCTTCGAAGAGCGTGCGCCCAGCACCTTCGAAGAGGCGGGGGAGAGGGGGGGGGGGGGCGGCCCACTTCGCCCTGCCTCCTTCGTGCGCGCCGCCGAGGTGGGCATGCTGGAGGTGATCGAGTCCGACTTCGCCCGCCTGGAGGCCGACACCAAGGCCCGGGGAGACGGAAGCTGACCGCCACCGGCCAAGCCTCCCGCATGCCCCCCCCCTTTCAGGGACCAGACTGGGCCTGCGGCAGGCGTGGCGGCACGGGTCAGCTTTCCCCTCTTCCGGAGAAAACAAGGCGGCGGAGGCCGCGGCGCAGAAGGAGTACGACACCTTCATAACGGACTCCAGGGTCGACAAGGAGGGCAAGGAGACGGACGTCGAGCACAAGACGGCCAAGAAGGGGGCCGAGGAGCAGGCAGTAGGAGGAGGAGTAGGAGGAGGAGGAGGAGGAGCAGGAGGAGGAGGAAGAGGAGGAGGAGGAGGAGGAGAAGGAGGGAGGAGGAGGAGGTGGGGGAGGTGGGGGCGGAAAGAGGTGGGGGAGGAGGAGGAGGAGGAGGAGGAGGAGGAGGAGGGGAGGAGGAAGGACGGTAGAGGAGGAGGAGGAGGAGGGAGAGGAGGGGAGGCGCAACAAGGGGCAGGGGGAGGGGAGGAGGAGAAGGAGGGAGTAGAAGGAGGGAGGGAGGAGGGAGGAGGGGGAGGGAGGAGGGAGGAGGAGAAGGCAGGGAGAGGGAGGGAGGAGGGAGGATAGGGAGGAGGAGGAGGAAGGAGGAGGGGGGAGGCAGGAGGAGGAGGCAGAGGAGGAGGGAGGGGAGGGAGGAGGGAGGAGGGAGGAGGAGGGAGGAGGGAGGAGGGAGGAGGGAGAGGGAGGCGGGAGGAGGGAGGAGGGAGGAGAGGAGGAGGAGGAGAGGAGGAGGAGGTAGAAGGCAGGAGGCAGGAGGCGGGGGGAGGAGGAGGAGGAGAGGAGGGAGGAGGGAGGAGGGAGGAGGGAGGAGGGAGGAGGGAGGAGAGGAGGAGGAGGAGGAGGAGGAGGAGGAGGATGATGTCTTATGCTGATGCGGAGTAGGAGGCGGGAGGAGGATGAGGAGGAGGAGGAGGAGTTGAGGAGAGGAGGAGGAGGAGAGGAGGAGGAGGAGGAGGAGAGGGGAGGGAGGATAGAGGTGTTGGAGGAGAAGTAGGAGGAGGCGGGGAGGAGGAGGAGAAGGAGGAGGAGAAGGAGGAGGAGGAGAGGAGGAGGAGAAGGAGGAGAAGAGGAAGAAGGAAGGAAAAGAGGAGAGGAGGAGGAGGAGGACGAGGAGGAGTTGGGGGGGGAGGAGGGGGAGGTAATAGATGTGGAGCTGAGGGAGGAGGAGAGGAGGGGGAGGAGGAGGAGGAGGAGGAGAAGGAGGAGACGGAGGAGGAGGAGGAGGAGGAGGAGGAGGAGGAGGAGGAGGAGAAGGAGGACAAGGAGGAGAAGGAGAAGGAGGAGGAGGACGGAGGGAGGGAGAAAGAGAAGGAGAAGGAGAAGGAGAAGGAGAAGGAGAAGGAGAAGAAGAAGGAGAAGGAGAAGGAGAAGGAGAAGGAAGGAGGAGGAGGAGGAGGAGGAGGAGGCAGGCCCTCTCCAGCGCGCAGTCCGACCTCGAGGGCACCCAGAAGGAGCTAGACGCCGCACTAGCCTACTTCGACAAGCTCAAGCCCTCCTGCGTCTCGGAGGGCGTCGACTACGACGCGCGCGTGCAGCGCCGCCAGGAGGAGATACACACCGCTTCGCGGGTGACACGGCACGGACAGTCTTACGTTCCGCATGGGCCCATCTTGACGCGACTCGGCCATGCGTCCGAAGAGTCCAAGGAGGTCCCTAGGGCGCTCGTACCCCCTTTCTTCTCCTCGCGTGCCTGCCATGGCGCTCCCTTTGAGAACGCCTGAAGGCCATCCCCCCGCCACCCCCACTCAAGTTCGGCAGCGTCCGTTCGATGGGGCCTGCGGGGGGCGGAGGACGGTCGGTGGTTGGCACGCCCGCTGGCCACTGCAGCGGAGGCCCGAGGATCGAGTCGCTCCAGGAGGCATTGAGGATCCTCAACGGCAAGGAGATAGTCTGATATCCGTCTCTGCCCGCAACCCTGGCAACCGCCCCTGGGGAGGGGCAGGCCGCGAGCCCCCCGCGTTGGCCACACGTAGGAGTGGCCATTTGCTGGAGTGACCTTCTGGTGCGCGGTTTCTCGCGGGCGCGGGCGGGGTTCCACGCCCCAGCACGCAGGCCGCCACAATGGCACCGCATGCAACGATCGGCCAGCCGCGCACCAAAGGCCACGCTTGCCCAGGACCACTCTCCCTGGCATCCGCAGATTTTCCCCCCATCCACAGCCCCCCAAAGGTCTCGAGTATTCCCAACCATCCTGTAGTGGGGCCTTGCTTTGAAGAGACAATCCCCGCGTCTCCGCCTTCCTTCTCCTTCTCCTCCTCCTCCTCCTCCTCCTCCTCCTCCTCCTCGGCCTCCTCCTCCTCCTCCTCCTCCTCCTCCTCCTCCTCCTCCTCCTCCTCCTTCTCCTTCTCCTTCTCCTTCTCCTCCTCGTCCTCCTCCTCCTCCTCCTCCTCTCCTCCTCCTTCTCCTTCTCCTTCTCTTCTCGTCCTCTCCTCCTCCTCCTCATCCTCCCTCCGCGTCCTCCCACTCCTCCTCCTCCTCCTCCTCCCCTCTCCTCCTCCTCCTCCTCCTCCTCCTCTCCTCCTCCTCCGCATCCTTCCCTCCTCCTCCTCCTTTCTCCTCCTTCCCCTGCTCCTGCTCCTCCTCCTCCTCCTCCTCCTCCTCCTCCTCCGCCTCCTCCTCCTCCTCCTCCTCCTCCTCCCTCCTCCTCCTCCTCCCCTCCTCCTCTCCTCCTCCTCCTCCTCCTCCTCCTCCTCCTCCTCCTCCTCCCTCCTCTTCCTACGCACCAATTCCTGTACACCCCTCACGACGAACGCAACCCCGTAGGGAGCTCCACAGAAGGTTCCAGTGGCAGGGGTTGCATGGGGGCTCCGTACCCATGTCGGTACGCCCCATCAGGAGGATCGTAGCCTCGTAGGGAGCTCCACAGAAGGTTCCAGTGGCAGGGGTTGCATGGGGGCTCCGCACCCACTTCAGTACACCCCTCACAAGGATCGTAGCCCCGTAGGGAGCTCCACAGAAGGCTCCAGTGGCAGGGGCTGCATTGGGGCTCCGCACCCGCGTCAGTACACCCCTCACGAGGATCGTCGCCCCGTAGGGAGTTCCACAGAAGGCTCCAGTGACATGGCTTGCATTGGGGGTCCGCGCCCATCTTGGTACACCCCTGACGAGGATCGTGGCTCCGTAGGGAGCTCCGCAGCACACGGGAGACGGAGACGGAGGAGGAGGAGGAGGAGGAGGCGAAGGACGATGAGGACGAGTAGGAGTAGGAGGAGGAGGAGGAGGAGGAGGAGGAGGAGGAGGGCGGGAGAGGCAACCTGAAAAAAGCTCCAGGTCCATGTCCAGCTCGGAATTGCCGCGTGGACACCCTGGAAGGCTCCCTAAGGCTCCCTGTCCGGCGGCGGGAGAGGAGACATGGAAAGGGTCCCTGCCGTCTCTGTAAATCCCTCTATGCGTTTCTTTTTTCGAGTTCGCCGTTTTTTCTCAGCTGATTTGTATATGCTTTCGGGCTCTCCGTGTTTTGGTTATGCTGGGCCCGCCTTCGGGCCCCAGGGACCTTCAGAAATAGTTCTGGGGCGACAAACTGCACGCCCCTCACTCGTTCCGTGGCCCCATGAGGAGCCCCGCCGAAGGTCACAGCGGCCGTCATCGCATGCGTCCCCCCACAGCCCGCATGCGGTACCCGCCCCATGTTGGCACACCCCTCACGTTGGTCGCCCGTCTCACGCGGTTCGCGGCCCCATCAGAAGTTCCCCCTCGATCGTCCCGCCTGCCCTGCGGCATTCACAGTTGCATCTGGTTGGGTTCTTCGCACGACGATTTTTTTGTCCATCCACAGCCCCCCAAAGGTCCCGACCCCTTCCTCAGGGGTAGGTATTCGTTATCCCAGGGCCCGAAAACAGCCCCCGGAGCCCGAGTAGATTGGGTCGAAGGATCCCGTCGCATCGTCGATGCATCGCCGATGGGGCTCGATATGAGGCTCGATTTTCTCCACGTCGACGTCGCCATTGCATCGCCAATTTCGACAATGCATTGGCGGAGCATCGGCGACGCGGCGCGATCCTTGGACCCCATCTACACCCATCAGAAGTATTAAGAGAAAGCGTTAAGTATTCGTGAATCACAGATTCTGTTCAAGATAAGCAAGACTCTGGACTGGACCCTGGCCGTTATCTTGGAGCTTCCTCCTTCGTGGAATGTTCGTATATCTGAACCTGGGCGACTGTTCAAGAAAAACGCTTGGAGTGAAGTCGGTATTCTTAGCGTCACATTCTCCTCACTCTGAGCCGGGGTGTACTTGGACCCCTTTGGGGAGGCCTCTGGTCGGAGATATGGGCTCTTCCGTGTAGCCGACCTCGGCCGCTACAGACAATCCGAATAGTAAGGATGGGCAGCCTTCCCAAGGGTACCCTTGCATCCTTGTCTCCTCGGACCATGCTCGGCCACTTTCGTTGGCCGCGCCCCGCTAGGAAAGCTTCGAAGTGGCCTTACCAGGCCCTCGCACCCTTCTCGCGCATCCTTATTATACAGGTTGACATTACCCCGCGCCGCCTCTCTCTTTCTCTCTCTCTCTCTCTCTCTCTCCACCCGCAGCTGGCGCTGCCGCGCCCTGCACGCCTGCCGACGGCCCTGGCCGGTGCTCCGGTTCGGCGTCGCGGGGCTCGAGGGAAAACGGCGCGCTGGGCGTTGTTCGCCCGCCCACCGCTCCCGCCTCGTTCCTCCGTCCACCCTTTTCTCCCCAAAGACCCCCTCGCGTCGCGAAAAAAAAAGAAAAAAGAGAGGGCAAACAGCAAACGTTGAAATCTAATAGTAACAATCACACAAAAACAAACAAAAAAAAAACAAAAAAACACGGCGGGGAGGTTCTGACAATGTTCGGCATCACGGGGCCCTCACCGAGCGCCGGGGCCTTCAGAGAACAATTGGGATGAGAATCCAGCCCCGGGGAAGGGGCCGGAACGTGAACAAATCACGACGTCTCGGGCTTGGGTCCCTCCCTCCATCCAGCTACACTTGTTCAATACCTATACGACCACCCTGCGGGTGATAAGGAGGTTGGGGGGGGTGGAGGGAGGGGCCGAGCAATCGGCAACAGTGGTGATTGTTCTCCTGACGATGCCAGTGGAGATTTTTTTCTCGGAGGCCTGCTGAGGCTCCTCTCCCTCCCTTTGTCGGGTTGCACATGGTGCAAATGCAATTCATGAGAACTGCTGCGACAGCGACGGCGGCGGCGTCCTGTCGGCGTATCCCTTTTTATGTAGACGGACCACCGGGACACTGGCGGGACACCGCGCGGCCCCGCGCCCCAGTGGAGAATCATTTGGTGCGGCCGCGCCTCAGCCACAGAGGACACCACCGGGACACCGGCGGGACACCGCGCGGCCCCGCGCCCCGGTGGAGAATCATTTGGTGCGGCCGCGCCTCAGCCACAGAGGACACCACCGGGACACTGGCGGGACACCGCGCGGCCCCGCGCCCCGGTGGAGAATCATTTGGTCCGGCCGCGCCTCAGCCACAGGAGACTTTCTTCTTGCCCGCCCACGCAACTTCGCCTCGCCCGCACGCACGGCACGCACGAACACGGAACCGAAATCGATTTCCCTGTAGGGGGGCTCTCCGTTCCACTTCGATCTCACCCCCCAACCTCCGATGTATATGTGTCTTCTCTCCCCGTCTGATGGTTCCTTTGTTTCCCCACGCCTGCCCCGAATAGTTGTGCCCCAGTGCATCAACACGAATGGGTGTTCTCTTTCCTGCCCGACGTCTGTGGCCATTTCTGCCTTCCCTGCGGGCGCGCCGCCGAGATGGGCAGGACGTCGGATGTGGCGCGAGGGCACCTGGTTTGATCCTGCCCCCCCATGCCGTGCCCCCTTCTGGTGCTCCAGATCAGCGTCGTGGTCTCCTCCCCCCAGGGCCAGACGAGATGGGGGGGACTGGGAAGAGAGGGGGTGGGTGCGAAGTCTGCTGCATGCAACCCCAGATCTTTGACAGCGGTCGTGCTTCTGCCGCGACGCGAGTGGGTGGAGAGGATTCGGGGCAGGGGAGCTCCCGCGGCCGCCACAGTCCTTTCCCCAGGCCGGCCGGCGACCACCACAACCACGACGACGACGACGACGACGACGACGACGACGACTCCGACGACGCCGACGGCGGCGGCGGCGGCTCTCCCTCTCGCCACACCTCTCCTCCGCCGCGCCTCGCTCGCGAGATGCGCCAAGCGCGCGAAGCGCGAAGGCCCGGCGCGCCCCTCCGTGGCTCGCACGGGGCGGGCCTGGGCCGGGCATCCGACGCCTCGGGGTCCCTTCGGATGTCGCCGCGCTGTTTGCTCCGACTCGCGGCCTTCCGTCTTGGGGAGGGCGCCGCTGGCACCAGGGCAAACGCCGCCTCGGACGCAGAGTTTGCCGTGGTTTTTTTTCCGCGGCGCCGGCTGCGGCTACTTGGGCGCGGGGCGCAGGGCTTGACGTCGTGGGTTTGCCGTGGTGTCAGTGTCGCCCTCTTGGGCGCGTCGAGAAGAAACGGTGCGGCGACAGATCCAGGCGACGCTGAAAGCAATAGGAAAACACCATGGCCAGTTTGTTCCTATCTGTTAGCCAGCGTGGACCCCAAAGAGTAAGTGATTGCACTGGCGGTGTAAGCTATGTGGTGCAATCGCTTTGGTGTAAAATACGTGGTGTTAGCTAGATGATGCAATCTACGTGGTGCGATCTAACTCGTGCAAGCTATGTGGTGCAAGCTGTACTGTGCAAGCGTTGTGATGTAAGCTATGCGCTGCAGCCTACGTGGTGCAAGCTATGTGGTGTCATCGATGTGGTGCTTGTAAAACTTGAAATCGTCCACTCCAATTCTCACACAAACGTCCCACCCTCCCACCCGCAACTTGTTTGGCAAAACACATGTAGCCACGATTACGATTACGAATTAACACTTGCTCGTGCATCTCTACGGCCGGGCTGGCGCGGGCACGCTCGCGTGTAGAACGACCAGTTGTTTGGGCACATCTCCTGCGACCGCGATGGCGCTCACTGATGGGAACTTGACAGCGGTTTTCTAAGGTCGCGATGGCGCGCAGGCACTTCATTGCGGATCGGTGGCCCAGGCGGGCGCGATATCATGATGACGTCGGCAACGGTGACAACGATGATGAAGCTAGCGATGATGAAGGCGCTGATGGCGATGACGGCGCCGATGCTGGTGACGACGGCGACAATGATGACGTCCATGTGTTGGTGATGAAAGCGATTGTGATAATGATGATGGCGGCAATGGCGGCAATTCACGATGACGGCGGTGATGCGATGGCGGTGATGGGTTTGATGAGGAAGTGACATCAGTGGTTGCGGAAGGACCTCGATACGGGCGCGTAGCCGCGCGCGCATGTGGCCCGCATGGGATTGTTTGATACGCATTCGTGCAGTGGGCGCAGGCTAGATCAACGCGGATGCACGGGGTGGTGAGATGAGAACGCGGGATTCTGGACAATATTGATAAGATCACATGGTGTTCCGATGATGTCAGCAAGGGAGCGCGGGAAGAAAAACTGAAAGATTTGTTCTGAATATTGAAACGGATGTGCTAGGTATGAGTTCGGCATGTGCGGGCGTGGATATTGTGGCATTTAATTGCAGGGGGCTCTTGCGACATAATATGTTGACATTGTACTATTTGGCATGGATCTGGCTGGGATGATGCGGTCTTCATACTGGAACGAACAATGTGGCGGAAAATTATGTAGACGGTATCATCCCAGGGGAAACCGATAAGTCTGGGGGGGAGAGGGGGCGGTAGAGTCCATCTTCCTGCGGGAAGAAGAATAACCGTGGTGCAAGCTATGACAGGGGGAAACAATTCGTGGACACTCCCCCGCTCCCCCAAACCCAAAGTTGGCACGCGCGGGAGAGACTGCCGTCGAAGTGGATCTCATCAGACCCGCCGCCAACTTTGAACATTGGGGGGAGGGGGAGGCGTTGACCGATGAATGTGGCATGCGTGCTCGCTATTTTTGTCCGAGGCCTGTACGTGGTGTGAGTATTTGGTGAGAGCTCTGTGGTGCAAGCTGCGCGGGGCGCCCTTCGGGCGCCCACGAGGCGGCACGGGGCCCGCAGCCTTGGCGAAGTCCCGCCGCACCCCCCCCAAGCGCGAGGCGCCCACGAGGCCACGCGGGCCCGCAGCGTGGCGAAACCCCGCCGGACCCCCTCAGCGCGGGGCGCCCATGAGGCGCCCACGCGGCGGCACGGGTCCGCAGCGTGGTGATACAGTTTTTTTGATTCGCGGGTCGAGAGCGCACCTCTTCCGGTCGAAGCTAAGCGGGCCGCGCGAAGCTAGAATTAACAAAGAGGGGGGGAAAGAAGGAGAGGCCCCACGGTCAGGCCAGGAGGAGGCAAAGCCTCGGGATCAGGCGGTGCCGAAGACGGCGTGCTTGCAAAGGAACGCCTTGTACAGGAACCTGGTGGCGAAGTACCGGAAGAAGCAAAATGTTGTGGTTGGTGGTGCCGTCAACGGCTCATTGTGTGCAATAGCGCGGTGATACAGTCAACCCGCAAAGTAAGGATGGGCAACCTTCCCAAGGTTACCCTTGCGTCCTTGCTTCCTCGGTCCATCCTTGGCTTCTTTCGTTGGCCGCGCCCCGCTCGAAAAGCTTCGAAGCGGCCTTCCAAGAGCCTTGCATCCTTACGCCGCGCATCCTTATGATGCAGGTTGACTGTACCCTGCCGTGCACATCCGGCTTCGTAATGATGAAATGCATGAACCCCGAAGTGCAAGCACTGCTCTGGGAAAAGACATGTTCGGCCTCTGGGGGGCGCTGCTGTCAACGCGGGCCCGCAGGTTCGTCGAGGCCAAGGGGGAGGAGCCCAACAGGCACTGGGACCTCCCTCGCCGTTTCCACGCTCCAGCTGTAGGGCTTCCCCGGGACCACAGCCCAGATGGCATCCAGCGAAATAAGGCAGGGGCTTTAAAATTCAAACTCGCGCATCAGCCGCCCCGCGATGCCCGCCACCTCAGACCCCTGAGACGACTCACGATGAGGACACGGTCCTGGGGAAGTGGCCGGGCGACAAGAACCCCAAGCGGCCGACGCCACGACAAAAGTTGCGACGTCGGAGGAGGGCTTGCTTTCGTGACGTGGGCTCGCCCCTGGAGCTCTCGATCCCACTACCCAGGACTCGTGGTTCGGCCTTGGGCCGGGCTCTCGCTCCAGAGGGGCAAGAGGTCACGATAATGATACGCTCCAGGATTTCCACGGTTCCCCGGATGTCCCAGACGCCCTAATGTTCCACACGGGCTGCAGAAACGAGGGCCGCTAGATGGTCCAGCATTCAATGACCCAGACCCCCGACGTCATGATTTTTTCATGACGCGACCACCAGAGGTCCGGACCTATTCGCCGGGACCGGTTTTTCATCCTGAGTCGGTTTTTGACGGTCCCGAGGGCCGGCAAGGGCCCCCAGAGGCGGAAAATATGGAAAAACCTTCCGTCGTGATTTTTTCATGACTCGAGGGGGTCTGGGTTCAACGAGATCACTCACATCCTGAGCCAATCGCACTATGGCATCGTTCTCGCCCTGTTGCTGGCCGGCCCCTGCGCTCCGACCGATCGTGCTTTTTCCAGCCCATCGACCAGCCCAGATGGGTCCGCCTGCCTCCCGTGCCTCTCGACTGCTCTCTGCCGCCCCCTGCAAGTTCTGCGGCCCTGGCAGCCCGCAGTGTGTTTGTGCGTGTCCTTGATTCGGGCGAAGAGAACTATGCACATGCACCGATCCTGGCAAGGCCCATCCTTGACCCAGGATCGGTGCATATGCCTTCCTGGCCAAGGTAGGAGGGCGTATGCACCGATCCTGGGCTCAGGGTGGGCCTGGCCAGAATCGGTGCATGTGCATAGTTCTCTTTCCTCTATTGGTGTCGCATGTTCCCGCTGTCTTGCAGTATGTCACCGAGGGCTATGCCAGGGCTGCTGCGAGCGTATAGGGGGGGCAGGACTTCCAGACGTCGGACGGCACGACGGGCGAGTCCTCCGAAGAGTGCGGCGCGCATGTGTGCTTTGATGTGCACTGCCTCCCCACATGACCATACTGCCTTGGGCCCATCCCTATATCCTCTCGTCTGTCTGCTTCCGCCCCTCCCTCTGAAGTCTCATAGACATGCCCATCTGATGTCGCGCCACCCGTGTAGGCCTTCTCCCCTTCGTCGTCGTCATCGGAGAGAGCGTGATCCACCGCCGCTTTACTGTGGAAAATTGCCAACCTTTTCCTCCGGAACCCGGGGGTCGCCCCCCCCCCCTCCGAAAATCCCCCCCCCCCCCCCCCCCCCCCCCTCCCCCCCCACCCCCCCCCTTCCCCGGCAAAACCCCCCCCCCTCCCGTAACCCCTCCCCCCCCCTCCCCTCGAAAACCGGGGGGGGTCACTACCGGTTCGAACCCCCCCCCCCCCGGATCCGGAAAACCGGGGGGGGTCACTACCGGTTCGAACCCCCCCCCCCCTCGAAAACCGGAGGGGGATCACTACCGGTTCGAACCCCTCCCCACCCCCCCACTCACCGCCAGCAAACGACTCCCGGTCCCTACCACCGTCCGCATCACATCCTCCACTGTTGTTCCCAGCACCACTGTCCTCACCACCACTGTCCCCACTGTGTCCCCACCAGTGCCCCCACCACTGTCGCACTGTCCCCACTGTCCCCACCACTGTTCCCACCACGGTTCCACTCTCCCCACTGTCTCCACGGCCCCAACCACTGCCCGACTATCCCCACTGTCCCCACTGTCCCACTGACTCCGCCGCTGTCCCACTGAGCTGTCCCACTGTTCCCACCACTGTCCCCACTGTCCCCACCACTGTCCCCACTGTACCTCTGTCCCATTGTCCCACCGCCGTCCTCGCCACCGCCTTCACCACTGTCCCCACCACCATTGTACCCTCCACTGTCCCACTGTTTCCACCTCATTCCCACTGTGCCCACACCACTGTCCCCACCACCACCGTCCCCACCACTGTCCACTGTCCCCCCTGTTCCCACCATTGTCCCCACCTCTGTCCCCACCACTACCGGCCCTCTACTGTCCCACTGTCCCACTGTCCCCACCACTGTCCCGCTGTCCCCTCACCACTGTCCCACCAACACCGTCCCCACCTCTGTCCGCACCCCCACTCGGTTTTCGAGGGGGGGGGGGGGTTCGAACCGGTAGTGACCCCCCCCCCTTTTCATGATGAGCTGGGGGGGGGGGGGAGGGGTTCGAACCGGTAGTGACCCCCCCCGGTTTTCCGGGGGGGGGGGGAGGGGTTCGAACAGGTAGTGACCCCCCCCGGTTTTCCGCCAGCAGCGGTAGAACACGCTCTTTCCGTCATCGCAATCGTTGGTTAACTTCTGCACTGCCGCCGCTGTCTACTTACTTTTTCTTAGCTTTTTCTTCCGAGCAGCAGAGGTCAGAGTCACACACCATCTTTGCCGGGAGCTTCTTAATTAGCGCCGACCCAGATTTGGTGCATCATTTTTGGACCGCTTCACATGAGACGCGCTCCCCAGACCCCCGACGTCGTGATTCTGTGTCCGCAACGTGGACCTCCAGAGGTCCGGATCCCTTCCCAGAGACCTGTGCTTGATCCCGAGTCGCCTGTTTGACGGTCCTGGGGTACATGAATCATGCAGTCGATCTCCTGCTCGCAGGACGAGCGCCTTCAAACTGCGGAGATGCGGCCGGGTCGGGCCTCGGGAGACGACATGCACGTGCTGGCGCCGCTTACGGGCGGCCCCCGCGTACACGCACGACGTCCCCAGGCGGGCGCCGGCCGCGGGCCGCCCGCGGCCTCGTGGCGCCGCTGCGCCCGGCCCAGCGCGGCGCGGGCCAGCGCCTCGACCGGGCAAGCTCCTGCTGCTGTTGCTGCTGCTCCCCAGGTGGGGGGGACGGACAGCGGCAGAAACATAACAAAAATCGGGGGCCCGAGTGTTTTTTATGTCTATGCCATGTTTCGTTCCCCTACCACAGCTCCCAAACGATCTCGCAGCCCTCGCCCTTCGGCGTCGCTGTGCACCGCGCCGGCGCCGACGCACCCGCACCGCGGGCCGCGCGGCTTCGAGGAGAGCTCGCCCGCCCGGTCCGCCCGCCCCCGCCCGGCGCTCTGCCCGCGAGGCGCCTCCGAGAGCGAGAACGACGCCGCGGACACCTCGGCGCTCGCGGGCGGGAAGCGGGTCCGCATCCGCGGCCTCGCGGGCCTGGGCCCCCTTGGCCGCGCCCCCGCGGCTGCGGGGCGCTGTTTCCGCGGCTGCCCCGCGTGGGGAGTGCCCGTGCGACCGCGTATCCGCGAGGTCGCGCCACGGAGTCTCCGGACCGCGAGGGCGCGGATGCGGACACGCTCGCCGCTCGTGAGGCGCGGCGCATCGTCACCGTCGCCGCCACGGTGGCGAGCTTGGCGGACTCGGCGCTGGCGCAGGCGCCCGGCGTCGACGCCGGCCCGCGGCGGCCTTGCGGCTGGCAGGCAGTCCGCTGGATTCGCGCCGAGCTGCCTGGCCCGATCGCCTCGTGGGTCGCCGGCCTCGGCGCGAGGATGATGCAGGTGGACGGCCTGGTCTGCAGGGCCGTCCTTCGCCAGAGCCTTCTCTTCGGACCACGGAGAGGGACTCTCCTCGAGCTGGCCTCTTGGGAGCCTCTGCACGACCTCTTGAGGGCCGCTGCGCAGCCTCTTGAGAGCCTCTGCGCGGCCTCTTGAGGGGGGCGGCGCGAGGTAAGGGCGTTGCGCGCTGCGCTCGAGGAAGCGAAGGCATGGATTGGGGCGCGTGGACTCGCGGCGGGTCTCTCGCTTTCATGCCGAACTCGGCACGATCCGTCGCCAACTTGGCTTCATGCTCTCGGGGGGGGGTCGATTGACGAGTAGCGTTGATTGTTTTGCCAGATCCACCGATGCATAATTCATATTAGCGCGTGCCGCGTGCCTGAGGCTCGAAGCACGAGTTTGGGCGACCCAGGATCATCCGATCGGCTGGCCGACTACTTGGGCACTGTGTGTGTGATCGCAGCAGTCGTCGTCGCAGTCGGGCCTGGGCCGCGCCGATCGTGTTGTCATCCGCTCGCCCGGAGCACCCAATCGATTGGCTCATCATTCTGGCGTTCGGGCTTCCTCCTCCTCCTCCTCCTTTTCCTTCTCGTCGTCCGTCCACCTCCTCCTCATCCCTCCTCGGTCCCCCTCCTCATCACCCTCCATCACCGTCATGACTGGAACTGCGATCAGACGGTGTGGTCCGTTTGGCTGTGCAGTGAGGCGGGCCAGGAGGACGACGACAACGTCGACAAGAATGAAGAGGGAGAGGAGGGAAGGGGGGGAAGGAGGGGGGGGGAAGGAGGAGTGGTTTCCCGGCACTCACCCCCTTTCACTCGCCCCTGCACGCGCGAGTCGGACGCCAAGACCTGATGGTTGCATGTGACCGCACTGCAGATGCAGCGACGTAGCCAGCAGGCCGCGAGTCGCTAACCTTGCCGGCTGCGCAGTTGGTTGCTCGATTTTCGGGGGGAGTCGCGGGACGGGGAGCACCAGCAGCAGTAGCGGACATTGAGCTCTCGCTCACATGCACCCCAACGGCCAGAGACTCCCGTCAAGCTTGATGTCACGTCGGGACTAGGCAGAAATCTTGGATGATTGCATTTTGGACTTACGCGCGCCCCCTGGTTGTGCCGTCAGGAGCCCGAGGAGGAGGAGAACGAGGAGGAGTAACAAGCGGAGGCGCCGGGGGGGTCTTCGCTGCTGCCTGCGTGGGCGCTGCTCCAGGCTCCGGGACGCACGCACAGCCGTGCCTCTGCAGAGGCCCGTGTGTGGGCCCGAAGAAGTGCCACTGGGTTCTGGAGCAGCCGCGGTCTTCTCTTGGAAGATGGGTGGGCCAATCCTGGACAGGCGGTCGCTCTTGATGATGCTGATGATGATGCTGATGATGATGCTGATGCTGATGAGAATGATGATGATGGTGATGCTGATGATGAGAATGATGATGATGGTGATGCTGATGATGAGAATGATGATGATGATGATGATGATGATGATGATGATGATGATGATGATGATGATGATGATGATGATGATGCTGATGATGATGCTGGTGATGATGATGATGCTGATGATGATGATGATGATGATGATGATGGTCATCATCATGATGACGACCCATCATCATCATCAGCATCGTCATCAGCATCATCGTCATCATCATCATCATCATCAGCAGCAGCAGCAGCAGCATCATCATCAGCATCTGCTCTGTGGCACTCGTCCGCGGCCCTCCCCGGCGCGCAGAAAGCGCGCCCGGGAGGGGGCCCCAGCGCTGATCTAAGAGGAGACCGCGCGGAGCTCCAACAGGTTTGATGCTTGCCTCTGTTCCTCCCTCCCCCATTCCTCCTCCGCCCCCCCATTCCTCCTCCTCCTCCCTCCTCCTCCTCCTCCTCCTCCTCCTCCTCCTCCTCCTCCTCCTCCTCCTCCTCCTCCTCCTCGCGCTTGCAATACCCCGGAAGGCAAGATCTCAGAGGCAGCCTTTTGTCGGGGCAGGGGCTCTGGCGCATCCTTTTGTATCTTCTCCGGTGGCCCGGGCCAGGTCCCGAGAGCATCTCGGCAGCAGGCGCGCTGGGTGCCGGCCCACTCCCGGAGAGGAGGCAGCAGTTGGCCTCTTCCTGAGTGGGGGTGGTGATGGCGGCGGGGGACTGAGAGGGAGGAGCAGGAGGCTTGGAGGAAGAGCAAGAATTCGTCAAGCAGCAGCAGGAGCAAGAGGCGCACAGAGCGGGTCAGGCGCTCCTGCGAGTGCCGCGTTGGGAGCCAGACGGGGGCGAGATCAGGGCGGCGGCGCATGGTGTGATGTTGCTCGCCTCGCCCCAGCGGCACAGGTGCCCGGGGTCGCGAGCATCGGGGTGGTCCCCACGATCCAGGCGACCGTTGGGCTGAAACTCCCGAGTCCCGCCCTCCCTTCCGAGACGTTCGGAGGGCTCAGAGGCTCTGTCATGGGGGCCGCTCAATAGGGTGTGCAGACACATGCACGGCCACGCTGAGGCGGACACCAGTGCGGGGCTGCCATGCGCCTCGGCATCGCTCGGACGCGTGCACGCTGCTCTCCGAGGCCAGCGCCAGATCATCAGGACCACCTCGGAGCATGTCGGACCACCTCCGGGGGAAACACCCGCGCGAGACCCCACAGTGCACTGGGTGTGGACGCCCGCGCGGTGGCGAGCGTGCTCGAAAAGCCCAGGCTCAAGGAGCCGCGGCCCGCCTCGGGCGCCGATCCCCCTCTTCGGCAACGCGCCCCTGCGCAGCCCACAGCGCGTGGCACCACCGCTGGGCCCCCGGCGACTGGCAGCCCCTCCCTTCGGGCGAAGAGAAATATGCACATGCACCGATCCTGACAACGTCCATCCTTGACCCAGGATCGGTGCATATGCCTTCCTGGCCAAGGTAGGAGGGCATATGCACCGATCCTGGGCTCAGGATGGGTCTGGCCAGAATCGGTGTATGTGCATAGTTCTTTTTCCTCTATCCCTGCGGCCCCCCCCCCGCCTCTTCCGGCCGCGGCCGCGGCCGCTGCCGCAGTCGTGGCTGGGGGGGGGAAGCTGTGGCGATGCTGTTCGCGGTGGTGTTCCTCGTCCGGCTGCGGCTGGGAGGGGGAAACGATCGAGAATTGTTCGAGGTAGCTGGCCGCTTCCAGCCGCGGCCGCGGCATGCCATCCCCCAAGCGGTGGGGCCCGCCCCTTCGGCCCCCCCCCCCCCCGCCGGGAGGAGATGAAGGAAACGACATCCCTTCGCCACGAGTCAGGCAACAGGTGTGCGACTTGAACTGGATTCGCGTCGGCGGACCCCCCATCCAACCCCCATGCACGTTCTGATGAGTGTGGGAGCGCACAGGGCCACCCCGTGCGCACTTTCGAGCGCGTGGGCATACAGAGTTTGCCCCCCAGGCTTGTTGCCCTGGAGGAATCGGCCCCCAATCGCTCACTGCTCGCCGAGAGGGGCCCGATAGCCCAACCCGTTCAGGACCGTGCGGTTTCGCCATCGGGGGCCGATTGGCAATGTTCCCCCCCCGAGCCAGGCCCCTCCACGACGTTCCCCCTCACATGTGTAGAGAGGACTTGCCAAGTGTAGGTACGAACTGCTCGCCGCCGAGTCTACGCCATTGGGCATTCGCCCTTGACCTCCCCCAGCTTCCCGTTACCCGCAGGCGGCGATGGTGTACGGCATAGGGAATCAGTACGGTTGCCACCTGGACCGCGCGCACGCGCTCACCATCGTGACCTACTTGTTGAGCCATCAAGCGACCGCTCAGTATAAGATGCAGCATGGAGGGATGTGCCAACGAAGCCTTTGAAACTAGTCTTGTGGGGCTCGGGCAGGAAACAGAGGCAATCGATGAGAGCTGGAGATGGATGTTCGAGGGACTTCAAGACGACAGAGCACGTCGGGCTTCGAGGGGATGTTGCAGGCCACTTGTCTGTGCCCACCTGTGCACAGACAGCCGTTGCTTAGCTTCATCTTCTTGGTGAACACAAGGTGAGTCACGATCTAAGTGAGCATTGCGTGTGCTCCCAATATCGCGGGCGCCAGCAACAGCAGCTTGTGCGCAACGTGGGCGCGCCATAGACAGTAGCAGTGGTCACGGGGCGTCGGTTGCTCGAGATAGAATGTTTGCGATACCCAGATGGCCAAATCCAGAGTGGATGCGAATTGCACGACGCGTGCGGCAGCGTCGTCTACCGATTGAGCATATGCTGCCGCACGTTCGCCGATGGTCGTTTCACAGTGACTGCAGGGGGCAGGCACATCGTCAGTCGACGTGTTGGCCAGATGTGCGTTTACGTGCCAGGTTTGCATTTGTGTGGCAGAAGCCTGCGATTACATACCGGATGTTCGCAGAGATTGCGTCAAATACACGATTGCGACGCGATGCGGCAGTTCGAAAAATTGATTAGGCCGAGTGTTCCCAGAGCTCGGAAAGTTGATGATGGCGAACGGCTAATTCTGGTCGAACCAGCCTCTGGGAAGCATCATCTTTTGAATTCACGGTCATACGTCAGCAGACATCACGCAGCGGGAGAAGTTCACGAACGTTGTCAGCCATCGACGTGTAACATCTGGCAAGCGGGAAAAGGATGTTGAGTCAATTTCAGGAAAGATGACAGACCCCGTCCACATGGCGCTGCCCCCGTAAACTAAGAAATCCCTCCCCTCAAGGGTCCAAGTGATGGCGTCACTGACGTAGGGCCAGAGCGTATTCGGAATGTCATGGCCACCACACGTGTAGAAATCGTTGCCCCAGATGTTAGACCATGCCCAGAAATTGCAAAGGCGTGTCGCGCCACGCACATTTGCCCTTCCGGTTCCGCATGCACGCGGACTGGGACATAAGCATGAACATGTGAGAGAAGGAGGAGCGAAGGAGAGCAAACATTCAGAAGATCCCCGTGGTACCGTTTTCGTTATCGTCCTTCGCGCCCTCCTCTTCCGCATCTTCGCTCTCTCGTGTCAGCAACGAGAGAGAAGACACGGGATCGTCTTCGCCGACAGCGGCGCGTGAGCTGGCCGCGGACGGTCGCACGTGAGCGCCCTCATCTCCAGTGTGGCGTGCCGCGCTGGCGGCGCGCGTAAGCTGCCGCGCAGGGTCGCTGTTCGGCGGCGAGCGAGGGGGGGGGAGGTGAGGAGGAGCGGGCCTTCCCACCACGGTTCGGAAGTCCCTCGGCCTTCTGAGCAGTGTTCTGAGCCTTCCTCGCAGACAGAAAACACTTCTCGGAAGGCGCGAGGGCTTCTGAGGAGTCCCGCCGCCTTCTGAGAAGGCCGTCTCCTTCTCGCTTCCCCCTCCCACTCCTCGCCGCCGAGCTGTTTCATTTCGCGCAAGACCCTTTTCCTTTCGTCTCATGTGTCGTGTGCTTCTTATAGGTCTCGGCCTTCCCTGAGGTCCGTGCCTTGCCGTCCGTCTGAGCCCTTGTTTCGTTGCGGCGGCTCCCCCTCGAAGGTCCGAAGCCCTCTTGGGCCGCACGGGAGAGCTTCTTTGGGTGGCGGATTTTTTTTTGGGGGGGGGGCCTCTGAAGGCCTGCTAGGCGCGTGCTGGAGTCCTCCTGGGCGCGTGCTCGCGTGCACGACTGCCTCGTTGCTCGTGCGCACGGCCGCTCGTGTTCCAGCAGCACGTGTTCCAGGAGGCCACGGCCTCTCCCACCGGGTCTTCAGGTGAGGCCCGGACGGCCGTCCGCAGGGGTGGCTCGTTGGCTCGTTCGTTCTTGGGGGCTTCCAGGCGCCTCCTCCTCCTCCTCCTCCTCCTCCTCCTCCTCCTCCTCCTCCTCCTCCTCCTCCTCCTCGTCAAGAAGCCGCCTCCCAAAGAGTTGGGCCAGCGTGTCGTGGCCAGCTGGCCGAAAATGGCACGTCCGCCTCTCCGGGGCACGTCCGCCTCTCCGGCGCTGACAGCAGAAAAACCGGCCCAGGTGTGGTGCTGGAAGCCTCTTGGGAAGTTGGCCCAGGCGTCGTAAACCACTGTCTATTGTGTCTCTTGATCACATGTTCGGCCGTGTTGAGACCACCCTGTTGCCAACCAAGGTCTCCCTCAACGACCAGGCCACGATTTGGAGTGGTTCGGGGGGGCGTCTTTGGGCCATCTTGGGCCGTCATGGGGCTCTCGTCGGGCAGTTGTGGGGCCCTGCTGGGCTGTCGTGGGGCTGTCTTGCACATTCTGGAGGCTCTTTTCGTTAGTTGCATCGCCCTACGTAATCCACGAATCGACGGTGACAAAGATGGACTGTGGCCAAGATCTGCACCGACATGTCCGTGTCCGGTCTTGGTCATGGTCAACGTATCCCCTCCATGGGTGAGCGCGGCGAGTGGCAGCATATCGGGCGGGGCCTGGGCAGGTGAAGAAGACCATGTTCAAGGAGATCGTCGGGTATATCCCCTTCGCTGGCAATTTGATCAAAGGCAGCATCACGCACCACCCTTAGAGCGTCGTTGGGTACTATGAGCACCGATGCGGGTGCTGCGCTGGTGAACATAATGTCGACAGCTAACAGCTACGTTGAACGCTGTGTTCCCAGACGCGCGCTGTCATGCGGTCACAAGACAACGGGCGAGCATATATGGAGCACACGTTCGGAATGTCCCAATGTACGGGGCGCACCTCATGACAAAATACGATTGGTCAGATACTGCGAAAGTGTCAGGCCATAGCCTGTACAAGAAAATGTTCTCGGTTCAATGGTTCTTGCCCAATGCTCGTCTCTGCAGATGACCTCGAGGGAGCCGAACTATGCCTACTCAAGCCTCGGTGGTCTTCTGGGCGTGTTCGGCTCCACCTTTAGGTTGGAGATCGCCTTTTTTAATGTTGGCCACCCTGCCTGGGCCTCTGGGCCACGAGTCCTTGCAGCCGGGACTCTGCTCTGCTCCTCCGCCTCCTCCATGTCTTCTTCCCTCCTCGTCCTCCCTCTCCCTGCCGCGGCACAAGAGAAGCAAGAGGGTCAAAGAAAATCCAGCCTTGTCTTACCTCCCCAGTGTCCTCCCTCCTGCGCCTCATCATGGCTCAAAGAGGCCCGGGCGGCTCAAGGGAAGTAAGTTCAAGGGCATTCCACCGAAAGTCGTTCAAAGTGCACTCAAAGTTTCAGGCGAACGTGCGAGAGGCCAAGGGTTTGTGGCACTGTCAATATGTTAAACTGTTGTAGGCGGCTTGGCAGCTGCAATAAGCTTCTTGATGTCGTGCCGAGCCCTGTGCAGCGACAGGCAATAACTGATTGCAGCTGCGAACAGAATGTGGCTATCGTTGGCTTGGGCTCAAGCAGCTCACAAATGAAGCAAGCCGTCGCCATGATTGTTGCAGTTATGGAACGTCTAATACGTTGCTGGGCTGGACGAGTGGGCACCACGAGCGAGGCGAGTTCTACCAGCGGTGGGCATAATCGCCGTTTGGGCAAGTGGAACGTACATGATGCATGTTGGGCAGAATGTCAAGAGCAATGTTGCACGCAGTCCATGGACCACAATAAGTTCAAAGGCTTGGTGTGGACACGTTGCGTACAAATCACTGCGAGCCCCGCGAATGGCGACCGGGGGTCAGCAACGATCAAACGAGGTATCGTTCAAGGATGAGCTACGCAGAGCAACGAGCAATGAACGACACGAGATTGGAGAGCTCACGCAGGTTGAGAATAAAGTAAGCATAAAACGGAGAGTAGTCAACCAAGCAAGATTGTCTCATGACGTCAAGCCAGCAAGGTCGGGTTTGGCAATTGCGGCGTTAGGTTGTCTACCCAGCAATGGCAAAGAGCACTATGCAGGCGGTCCGCGAAGCTCCAGCGAGAAACACGGGACATGAATTCTCGAATAAATTGTCAGAAGTGCGCACGCCGACGCAGGGTCCAATCTTGTGACTGTTAATGCATGAGAGCACAAGGCCCATGACTCAGTACGTAGCGAAGGGTTTCTGCAAATCACGCTGGCTGCGCAGATACGTACCGTCGTCAGCGCATGAAGCGAAATCCATTTCTGGATGAGTCAAGAAATTGTTTCTGGAGCGCCCTCTTCATCATACGACTGGCCACGGCCCCGGCGCCGTCACCTTCAGCAGGCGTGTTCCAGCGCACCCGCGCGCGCAGAGCGGGATACGGCACTTGTCTCGTCCAGCCTCCTCGCCTCCTCCACCCTCTCTCCTCTCACCCTTCTCCCTTTCTCTTCCCCCCCCGCTTCCCGCCCTCTTCCCTCCCTCCTCCCTGCCCTCGCGCTCGCCACGCTCAATCACCCTCATCCCCCGCGCCTTGGGAGCCGTCGTGAGGCCATCTGGGGTGATCCCTCGGGGCCATCTCGGCCGATTCGGAGGCCACCTCCTCCGTCTTGGAGGCCCCCTGCATCTGCCTCCGTGCCTGCTCTCGCCACCGCCCCCCTTCGCGAGCCAGGCCGCCTGGGCCCCGACCAGCCCCTTGGGCGCGATCGGGTAGAGGGGCCCAGCGGTCAACACGCGGCGCCGCCGACAGCGCCCTGGCAAGAAGACCCGCCGCGGTGCCGTCCCCCATCCACACCGGGCGCATGACTAAATGCACATCCGCTACTGGAATGTAGCGCCTTGCCACCGAGGCTGGCAGTGCTGTGACGATGGCCGTTTCTCGCAGCAAGGTTTAAACGTGCGTGCACCCGCTGGTACTTGAGAGGGTGGCGCAGGCAGTTCTAAGATACTTCGCAAGGTAGCCCCATGGCAATCCTCACCCTGCGGAGCCTTTCTTCGTAGCGCCCCCCAAGGATCTGGCCGCCCAGGGCCATTCGCAGGTGGCGTCTCGGGGCCCCATGCCGCCGGGAGAGAAGCCGCCCTGGCCGCCCGAAGTAGCTGGCGCTTGCTGGACAGTCCTGCGCGCTTGCTGAACAGTCCAGCCCTGCCCGGTTGCTCCCTGGGGTGCGTTCACTGAGGGGCGTCGTTCGCTCGTCGGAGTGCTGATTGTGAGGGTGGTTCTTCCGCCCTCTGTCTCGGTTTGCCTCGGGGGTACCTTTCCAGAGGGCGTCTGGGCTCGTCTTGGGGCCGTCCCGAGGCCTTTTCGACGCCATCCTGGGTCTTCTTCGGGGGCGCCTTGGGGATGACGTGGGCTGCTCCGGGCCCTCTTGGGCCAATTTCGGCCTCTCCTCACCTTCGTTGTCCGGAGATCCTTGGAGGACACGTCCCAACGGCCGCACTCATAGCGTTGAGGCCCAGGCCTGCGGGGGCCCGCCGGCAGCGCTCCCTCGGGGACTTGTTCGAGGACCTCGTGAGCATCGGGTGTTGCGGAGCGCTGACCTGCTGTGCGAAACAAGCATGTCCGGATGTTGGCCGGCCTCGACCTCCAGGGGCCCTCACCGGGCCCCCCGGCCATCAACATCTTTTCTGGGGATGGCAGACCGTTCCCCCGTGGGAGGGGGTCGGCACCTCCAGGGGCCCACGTCTTGGACAGAACACGGCGCCGGCTGTCTGGGTGGGGCGACGCACGGCGCTGCAGCGGTCCCTCCTCGGGGTGACGGTGGAGGCCTCTCCCGCTCGAGCCCGCGACGCGCGCCGCGGAGGGTTGCGCGGCGCGGCGCGGAGGCACGTCCGCGGCCGGCAGCGGTGGCGGAGCACTTGGCCGTGTTGACTGCGGCGTCCTCGGCCGCTGCAGCGTCGCGCCGCTCGCGTGCCCCCCGCGCCCGTCCCGCGGCGCCCTCGGGGCCCCGGCGCGAAGCGCGCCATTCCTGCTGCAGCGCAGGGGAGGAGCTGTAGGGACTTCGGCGATGCGTCCTCGGCTGCGGTCGCGCGCGTGGACGCTGTACATGGATGCAGGCAGCGTCGGAGGTCTGCCCTCCACGCGTCTCGCACGTCAGGCCAAGCCGATGGACGTGGCCAAGGGCCCCGTCGTGGGGGAGCTCGGCGCTGGCTGCCTGGCCGTTTCTCGGGCCACCTGTTCGCATCCATGGGGCAACTCGTTGCCAGTGCTATCAGCCAGTGGTGCCAGCTGCGAACGCCTGGGTACGACGCGGGGCAAATGACTGGCAGCCGGCAGCAGCTCCAGCGCGGGACGTGAGGAGTTGCGCACATCTCGTGAGCCCGAGGGAGTTGCCGCTGCTAGAAGAGATACCACGAGGAGTTGCGTCGTCAGGTCGGTAGCAGAGTAAGCGTTGTGGGCCCCTGGCTCAAAAGGAGTTGCCGCTGTGAGAAGAGATACCACGAGAAGTTGCGTGGTCAAGTCCGTAGCAGCGTAAGCGGTGTGGGCCCCTGGCGCAGAGGAGAATCCCAGAATGCGTGGGCAATCGGGTCTTGGTGCGCCTTCCAGCGCGGGGAGTGCGCCTCCACGAAGGCCGCCTCCAGGCTCGTGCGCCCCCCGCCTACAAGGCCCCCGCTCAACGGGAAGTCGCGTTCATTCAGGAGGGAAAAAACACACAGACACAATCAATCGTCGATCCCCCAGAAAATATGAGAAAATATGGGAAGTCGGGGGGAAGACAACAACCCAGAAAATATTTTTTCCCAACCATCCTGTGGTGTTGGGTCCTCGTTTTGAAGAGACGGTGCCCGCGTCCTCTCCTCTCCTCTCCTCCTCCCTCCTCCTGGGGGTGTCCACATGCGGTTCCCCCACCCAGGGCAGCGTTTCGTGGCCCCATAGGGAGCTCCACCGAAGGCCCCAGTGGGGGTGTTCACATGCGGTTCCCCCACCCAGGGCAGCGTTTCGTGGCCCCATAGGGAGCTCCACCGAAGGCCCCAGTGGGGGTGTTCGCATGCGGTTCCCCCACCCAGGGCAGCGTTTCGTGGCCCCATAGGGAGCTCCACCGAAGGCCCCAGTGGGGGTGTTCGCATGCGGTTCCCCCACCCAGGGCAGCGTTTCGTGGCCCCATAGGGAGCTCCACCGAAGGCCCCAGTGGGGGTGTTCGCATGCGGTTCCCCCACCCAGGGCAGCGTTTCGTGGCCCCATAGGGAGCTCCACCGAAGGCCCCAGTGGGGGTGTTCGCATGCGGTTCCCCCACCCAGGGCAGCGTTTCGTGGCCCCATAGGGAGCTCCACCGAAGGCCCCAGTGGGGGTGTCCACATGCGGTTCCCCCACCCAGGGCAGCGTTTCGTGGCCCCATAGGGAGCTCCACCGAAGGCCCCAGTGGGGGTGTCCACATGCGGTTCCACATGCGGTTCCCCCACCCAGGGCAGCGTTTCGTGGCCCCATAGGGAGCTCCACCGAAGGCCCCAGTGGGGGTGTCCACATGCGGTTCCCCCACCCAGGGCAGCGTTTCGTGGCCCCATAGGGAGCTCCACCGAAGGCCCCAGTGGGGGTGACCACATGCGGTTCCCCCACCCAGGGCAGCGTTTCGTGGCCCCATAGGGAGCTCCACCGAAGGCCCCAGTGGGGGTGTCCACATGCGGTTCCCCCACCCAGGGCAGCGTTTCGTGGCCCCATAGGGAGCTCCACCGAAGGCCCCAGTGGGGGTGTCCACATGCGGTTCCCCCACCCAGGGCAGCGT